GTTTCCATGCAATAAAATCTTATCTTATCTTATCTTTTGTCATTTACTCAAAATAAACGCCCAAAAGTGGTCTCCTTCACACCTTTAATAATGTAGCATGAAGAAAACAAAACAATCCACTAAAATGCTAAATATTTGTTCTTGCCAAGAATCAGTTAAAATAAATCTTGACAATAAAACCGAAGTTTCGTTTCCGTTATCTTTCCTTGACACCAAATTTGTATGAATTTCTGGTCTTCGCTTAGTGGTGCTAAATCAGAGAAGACAACTGTTTTTCTCTTCGATAGGCTACCGTACCATTTGTTTCTGCAGCTTTACAAGAAATGCAAGACACACCTTTGAGTCATTAGTGGTATATTGTTAATTGCTGACACCGTTGCAAGGAGAAAAGACAATCTATGTGGCTTTAATTATGACATTTGAGCATCATCTAATTACATGCCTTTCATGGTTCAGTGACCCGTCTACAACCATGAATACTATCAGCGCATGCTCCTGAATGCGAATGGCACACTTTATCCGTTATGTTTACCGAGGTTGGGTGGGATTAACACAGCGATCGTACAGCAAAATGGCACACGATTTCAAGGAGACTAATAACAAGTTTTATAGAGTTGTTTTAACCGGTGGTACGTATATGTTTTAATAATTTAGGCTGACGAATATCCAGTTTGATAAAATGACTCTAATAAGAAATGTACATTTGTATATTTATTGATTTTCTTCAGCATTAGCAGTATCGATATAGTGATCGCATAGGCCTAGTGTCCTTGTTTACAAATTAAAACGAACACGTGGGTTCTCCCACAAAACAAAGAGACATAGATATATTGACAACATATGACTAAAAGAGATATTCAACTACATGTATGATTAGTCCTATATTGAGTCAGTAGATGGGAATAGGACTATATTATATATATAAATGTATTTATTTGCGTCTTTGTAAATTTAAAATCTCTTGAAATAACAAACAATCCAAACAATGTCATGTGACGTGTGCTGTGTCAGGCTAAATTGAAATATTACAGTACACTGACATTCCACTTTCATTGCTATTTCTCAGTAAGTAACTAAATTGACAAACGCTAGAATCATTATACATGTACGCCATGTGATAGTATTGTTGTCAGGTAAAAGTTAATTATTATGTATACTGAATTTATGTACACGAGATGTTTTCAAAGATTGGTTTTGGAGTTATCTGTCTTGATCTGTTTAAAAAGTCTTGTACTACTACTACTAAAAATGATAATAATATCGTCATTTATAAAGTGCGTTAATACTGAAGAAAACAGTTTCTAAGGCGCTGTTGGTTTTTATATTCACTGATTATTTACAGATCAGCTAGGGTTTTGAAATAAGAATGTTTTGAGTTGAGGTTAAAGAAGTTGTTATCCAATTGACTTGAAACTATACACAGTGTTTTTCAGCATGAGATTAAGAACTTCAACGTACTGAACAGCTAAAATTATCATTAATAAATGTTAGCTCTAGGAAGAAATAAAAGCCAATGAACTTTGGTTTATTTCTGCAAATTTGCTTGTGGTTTTTCTTGATCTTCCATTTCCTTTGTGCACCAACTTTTGTGGACTACTCAGATGTGATTGTAGCATGTTTCATTTCCAGGCAACCTAACTTTTTCAAAGCATTGCTCTAAACTATCATCTACAACACTATCTCTACGGTACTACAGATTAAAAATTTTAATTTTTCTTTGTAGACCAAATACTGTAAAACCACAAAGAAAATTTTATCATAAATCCATTCATAATACAAATGGAATCGGGGCTTTTCTCCATATCTAGATTCAGTTGAAACAAATCAATAATTCATTTACATTGTCATCTAGAATAGTCCATGCCAACAGTAAGGTTTCAATCTGAAGTGGGGGGGTTGGGTGGCCGAATGCTTTTATGCATGCGCTTTCAATCAGAAGGTAAAGGCCTAGCTGTCAGTGAGTAAAGTGGTGGGGTTTCAATTCTCCACTTTTACGTGACAATGAATAGGTTCGTCTGTTCCAACTCCATGGGTTTTCTCCAGGTCGTCTGGGTTCTCCCCCACTGTTAAAGACCCGTACATGCAACCTAATTATGGAAAATAAAATTGGACCAGATGTTAGTCCTGAAATGACCTAGTTTGTGTCAAGTGGATGTTAAACCCCATTTTTCTCTCTCTCATTCGGATGTCGAAAGTGCCAAATTGACACTGTGACGAAGTTACTTCTTCAGTGTTCTCTTTCCTCATTTGGAAACTTAGTAGAAAAATATATGATACAAGATCACAAAGGTTTTATTTTTATACTCCCTAAATCCCTTTCTCCATAGTACTCAAATTGGTTTTTTAACATTTAACCACGAAAACATAATCAAAATATGAACGATAACATCTTTGATTCAATCAGATTAAAAATTGCTATCAAAAGATTTCACATCCCTTTTATTTCGTCTGTATTTCTGTATTCTACCATTTGATTTTATGCTTTGGGGTTTGGTAGATGTGTTCTGCTATTGCTGATTTGTTATGTTCTTGTTTTATAACTGCTGTGTTATGCTCTTTTGTTCTGACTGAAATCGTTCAGGATGTTACGCCAATATATGCCCCATTGCACTCACAATTTATTTTGTATCATACCATCAGCTTTTAACATAGTTTTGAGTGTTGTTCCGCTGCTGAATACTACATCTGCGCGGATTTGCTCTGTTAAAATTCTTTGGTGGCTAGCTGGTCCTATAAATGGGATGGTGATAAATACCGGGCGATTTCTTGTAATGGCATCGGGTGGTTCGCATGTATGCGTCAGAGTTTTCTTCATGGTTGTTTTAACTGTGTTGACAGGGTAGTTGTTATATTCTGTAAGATCATGGTTGATGTGCTGTAGTTCAGCGTCGAGTAGATCATCATGACATACTAATTTTCCATGTCTTGTTAAGGTACTTATGATTCCTGTTTTGACTTTGGTAGGATGGTTAGAACTATTATGTATGTATTGGTCCGTGTGGGTTGGCTTGCGGTAAACAGTAGTTTTTAGGTTATCTGCAGAGTTGATTACTAATACATCTGGGAAAGGTAATTGGTTGTCTTTTTCTAATTCTACAATAAATTTCTATCGAGGGTGGACGCTGTTGAGGTGTTCAAGAAGGTGTTGTGGATTCTGACCTGGTTCCAAAATGGCAAATACGCCATCAACTTTTCTAATCCATGTTATAGGTCGGATAGGCGTAGACTTTAGGACAGATTCTTCAAAATAGGTCATATACACTTCTGTTATGAGAAGGCTTATGGGGGAACCCATGGGTAATCCATGGACCTGTTCATAAATATCGGATTGCCATGAGAAATATGAAGAATTGATGCATTGCTCTATTAATTGAATGATATTGTCAATTTTGAGGTTTGTGGTTAGTTCTTGTTAAATGGATTCAATTTTTTGCCATAACACTTGTACTGCTTCATCCAGAGGTATATTCGTAAACAAATTAACAACATCATAACTAACTAACTAACTGGCCATTCACATTATTTTGTTTAAGTCTATGACAGAATTCTGCTGAATCTTTAATATAGGAATTAGCACTAGTTGCAATGGGTGGTAACAGTTTAGAAAAATACTGTGCTGTGTTGTAGTACACTGATCCACGAGAACATGTTAACAGTCTAATTTTGATTGGGTCTTTGTGAATTTTAACCTGTACTCTAGCATAATAGATGGCGTTGGATGGGATATGTTTAGTTGTTTATCTATTTCATTATTGTCGTGGAGGGATTTTAATGTGGATTTAAGTTGTCTATAGTCTCCATGAAATTAAAATAAAATTTACTTCAAATTGTTGTTTAACACAAATGCTCTTTTAACGAAAATTTTAAATTACTTCTTACAGACACGATCATGCCTTAAATACTGACCCTCTATGCTTGTCTATGTCCCATGAGTTGATAATACATGTATTTGTATATGTGAAGTGTGTGCATTAAAAAGGTATTATGACATTCTGTCAAGAAACTCGTCAAACCATTACAATAACCTATACAATGATTATAATAAATACTAAGATATGCTTTCAAGGTTATGGCAAAGTTACCCTGATCTGTCCTGTCTAATGTCAAAGTTTTTCTGAACTTAGGCTATTGAATATCAGAAGTTACACTGTATAGCACATCAAAGTTATTCTGAACGAAGGCTTTCAATGGGTTTAATCCGGCAATGCTCCCTAATCAAACTATGTTAGTGATTAAAATATTATAGATAAGTTCACCTGTCATTGGTTAACAAGTATGAATTTACTCATGAATCTATCAAATATATGGATAGAAACTCACTATCACTGTATTTATATTAATCTCTCCAATTACAATATATCTTAGAAAGTTATTGTAAGATTTATTTCTAAGTCGAACATACAGAAGAGTTGTACACCATATAATAACTGATCTGAGAATCAAACTGTTGACGGGGCTAAAAAGTGCTGTTGAATATGCCTAGTTTTTTCGCACATTGTGGGTTTATGAATATTATGATTTGTTTTAATCCTTTTGTATTTGATAATCCCCATGTTCGACTGCTCCTACCATGAGAACAATAGCAGGATGCATAACAGGATGACCCCTATCATTGATCAAAGTTAAATGTAATCAAAAGTTATCTCAAATATTTGCACCATGTAACATACAACTTTCTAGTAATTGAGTTAATTACATTGAATACCTGACTCTGAATTCTCCTTTACGTTTAATGAACTGCTAATTGTTGCATTTCCATTAAAACCTAATTTTACCATTTCTTTTGTTAAGAAAAGGAACTCTTGAATAAAATATTTACAAATAAGCTTACATGTCACACCATGGTCCCACCTGTAATTCTTATTATTCTAGTCATTAATAAAGAACTTTTAGTGTCGTGTTGATTTCATCACAATAAGTGAAGCTGACTAACAAAAAGTGGATTAAACATCTGATCATAAAGCCATTACAGGTAGCCTTAATCTTTACCCCCTAGGGTCATGGAGATTTCTTACACACTCTCAACTTGTACATGTACAATGAGAGACTTAATTGGTTCTAAAATTAAATGTATCTGCCATGAAAGTGTAAACCAAACTCTCTTTAAAAGCCCTGATTGTCATTCATCAACATAAGATTTGTATTATATTTAATTAGCCGGTTTTGGTGGTTTTGTCCATTTCATCAATGACTGTTAAATGTATTTTCCGGCATGGTTTTCCCTTGTCAGTGGTGCAGAACGGAGGGCTGACAAGGACGGTGTCTGGTCGCTCGAAAATAATGAAAAACTGTTGTACTGTGTACACATTGGCATGCACGTAAAATAATCCTTGACAGTTGCAATTCGATATAGGCCGTAGCACCACTGTCGAGGCAAAATTTTCCTTATAACACATTGTAAGGTGTTCACCCGTCTCCATTAAGTCAATCAGACTAGATTTCATTTCTTTAATAGCAATTAAATGGTTCAATTCTGTTCAGTATTTACAAAGATATGTTGAATTGAAATTTCAACAGTCATGGTGCTCATATCTTGTTGTGGGCGATCAGAAGTGACCGGCCTACTTAAAATCCAATTGAATCCAAGTCTCGAGATAATCTAATGTTGGTATTTTAATTTTGTCTTATTAATTACCGGTATATATTGAATAATTATATTAATTATTGTGAATAAGCCATGAGAAATTCAATATTTTAGTGAAAAATGCTATTGATGCATCGTTACTTTAAATGGTCAAATTAAATACAGCTTAGAGTGAATTAAGCCATGGAAATTAGATATATATATATGCAAATGACGGTCTGCAGCTTTAATTGAATTTGGTTGTTTTCATGAAATACATTTATACTATAGTTGTATTAATATCTGATTTGCTAGCAATCATTGTGTACTAGCATGTGAAAGTCTGTAATAGAAATAACCACAGGTAATGTCAACCAAATTATACACACAACTTATTGACGAGAGATATAAGGTTTTGAAAAAGCTTAATAACAGAAATGATGATAAAATTTGTTTGGCAACTTGAACCATTACCATTATCTCATATTATTCAGTTGTGTAGATATTTTGATGGGTAAAATTTGTTTACGATGAATTTGACGCCGTCAAGATTACACAATGTAAATTATAATAATAATCCTTTTAGACAACAAAAGTAAATGGGTTATATATTATCAGTTATAAACAAATTTGTCTGTTTGGTTTTCAAACTACAAACAGATCTTATTTGGAAATATGAGTTGATTACCAGTATTTGTTATGTTATATTATATTTCCAGCCATCTATTTCAATTGACGTTTCCCTCACATGAAAACAGATTGAAGTGTTTATTGGTTGAACCACTTTGTCAGTTTTAAGTATGGTAATAATTTTGCATTGTATTCGAGTGAGAATTGCATTTGAGCCAAAATATAACATACAAATCTTTACCTAATGGCTCAGTGAGTAAGACATTGGGTCTCTAGACGCTAACCTAGAGGTCTTGTCTTGTGTTTGATCCCTGTGTTGACTAAGAAAGCTCATCAGGATTTTTCCGCATGCTTCCCCCATGTCACTTGTTGTTCAGGTGGGACGAAAAACCAAGATTCCGTGTACATTTTGGTGTGCATGGAAAAGAGTAATGCATATGTCCAGGCAAAATTTTCCTCACAGTACACTGTATATATGACCATCTTCATTAGCCCAGTCGGTGCAGAACAGTAGGACGTTTTAACTGCAATTTTATTTTATTTCATTACCCAGTAGACATTCTTTTTAGAGAAAACATTGATGCGCATAAATGAAATGAACAAGTCATAATCACATGTAATGGTATGTCAAATGATCTCTTTGCAAAAATAAAAGGGACATGACATATTATTATTATGTCATCTTCTGTTTTTTGACATTAGAAATGAATGTTTACTTGGAGTATACATGACACTAGTATTTGTTTTCCTAACTGAACAAGGAAACACATTAAGCATATTTTTGGATGTGTTTAGTTTATCATTGTTGTTTTACATTAATTTAATAATACATACTACTGTTTTTACACTGTATTTTATATAGTTGGGTCCAGGCTTGTAGTCTAGAGGTCAAGGCCCTGTTTCACAAAAACTTAAATCTCCTTAAAAATTGTCTTACTAAAATTTCATCCTAATTTAAGATAGGTGAGTTTCCAAAACAATTTTAAGCATTTTAGCTAAAATCCATTAAAATATTATTTTGAGTTAAAATTTTATCTTAACTTAAAATAGTGGTATTTTACAAAACCATTTTAGGGAAAATTTTAACTAAAATTAATTTTACGTTAGGACAGCCATCTCCCTCTCCTAATTTAAAATCATGGCATAAGCAAACATTGATTAGTGCTTACTTGTTAGATCTGTTGCGACTGACTAATGATTCAAGTATAAATGATACTATTTTTAAATAATTAACACAAATATGGCCAATTTCTGGGTACTAAAAGGCCTAAAGGCCTACAATGCAAGACATGCCATATGCAAAGTATTCCCTTTTAGTTGGGTTAAGATTAGTTGTAACAAAAATAAATCAATAAGTTCGAATTTGTTTACTGAAAAATGTTATTGGCCTGGGCCTATATGAATTTCAATTTTAATATCTTTAATTATTTATTTTTAAAAGTGAAAACCTTCATTAATTAACAGAACATAAATCATAAAGCACACAGTTAAACAATGTTGGAGCCAAAGGTATTTTATCTTGAAAATAAAAGGCTCAAATCTGTTTATTGAAAAATGTTATAGGCTTATAGATTTTAATATCTTAAAGATACATTCCCGCGTACAAACTGAGTGATTTGATGATATATTTGGACTAAAAACATATTCAAACTAATTAATTTATCATAATTTTGCTTCAAATCCTTCTCAAAACATTGTACATGTAATTGACATGGAATACCCTGCTATAAAAATCGACCAAAAGGGGTCATGTTTGTGTCACGTGACTTACCTCCCGCTGTACCTATAGCAACCCTTGCGAGGTCGAAGGAGAATACATTGCATACACAAGACGATGTTGTCTTTAATCGCTGACTATTTATTACAAATATCGAATCCTAAGTAAATTCTAGGATTATCCACTTCCCGGGTCTTTTTCCGTGATTTTGATCTCAGAAAATTAATAAAGTGTTGTAGGTCTAACTCTTCATAAAGTTTATCAATCAGCGCGTGCAACCTTCGACGTCGCGCGTGCGCGTGCAGACATTCCTAATCGTCGGGCTGTCGAATCCAGTATTTTTCTAGTAAGATTGGATATTTCTACTTTCCATATATATACCAATATTGCCATACTTTTATTGGAACTAACCACCCGATAAATACTTTTCTGGGAACCTGTCTTTAAATTTATTATTATTACTTAATGAAGGCTTACTTTAATAACAGAACATAAATCAGAGAAACACACAGCGAAAAGTATTAGGTGCCAAGTGTATTTTGAGTAAGATAGATAGGCTTTATCCAATAAGTAAGTAAGTAAGTAAGTAAATTTATTGCATAAAAACGCCTGCAAGGAGCAGCATACAATTACAAAAATGACATTAATACAATACAACAAATAAGGAGTGTCCGTGTGGAAACTTTGTCATTTCCGAAGTATCCTTGAAACAGTATATGGGGATCACCTTTTAAATCTAGACATCAGAACAATGGCTATTTGGTTGATTAGTTTCGAAGAATAAATACCTTTGAAATTCGTCAATAAATTACAGCCTAGATAATCCATTAAACGTCACAATTGCCGTCGGTTGAGTCAAACCTTATGGTACATCGCTATGCTCTGTTTATTTATTCATCTTTTAAAAATATTAATCATGTTTTATAAATTCACGAAACACCCACATATATCATATTTTTGAAAAGTGACAATTCTCAATAGTTTCTGTTATCCAATACCATAAAACTAGGAAATTCAAGAAATTTAGTTCATTGATACGCTTTATTTTCATTGAAGCCTGCTAGTAAATCAAATGCCAAGGTCACGAAAGCAGCAATTTCGATGTCAACCCACCGATACATTTCCAAACAAATTAATGCATCCCAATAATTTATTTCATCTCTTTATAATTGTCTGACCATGTGCAATTAAACATTGCTAAAATGTATGAAACTTTCGCCATTGATATTGTAACCTTTAGTTAAACCTGTCAACAGTTTTAAGTTCCGAAGCATATTTGTTTTCACTGTAAGTGCCAGCCCTGGTAATGTACGCTGCGCAAGCACAATCAATTTTAACAATTGAAATTCCATTTTAAGTTACAATCGATCTTTGTGAAATGCATAAAAAAAATTTCAGTTTGATTTTAGTTAAAATCTATTTTAGTGATTTTATCTTAAGTTTTTGTGAAACGGCTCCCAGGGCACTGGACCCCTGTAGTCGACTCGGGCTGGTCTTACAGGCCAGGGCATGGGACTCTTGTGGTCAACTCATTGTATTCTAGAGGTAAGAGCACTCTTGACTAGAATGAAGGGTTTGGTGAGTGATTGTCTAACGCATTCTTTATAAATCAATTACAAAGTTTGTTATATTTACAAATCATGGGGTTAAATCCCAGGTTACATGGATTGGGTACTCCTACCCAATATCTCCAGGTTGTCTGGGTTTCCTCCCCCTGCCGAAATCTCTTGCACTCAAACGAACTATTGAAATAAATGTTAGTCATGAAATAACCTAGTTCCCGTATGTTTTGAGTTGAATATAGAGATAATAAATCAAAGTTTACATGTAGGTATGTCATATCTGTATGCATGCAATGAAAAACCATAACAATCATAATAATGCATATCTAAGGACTTTTCCTGATCAGTTTCGGTGATTGTTTTTCTCTACTTAATGGAATCAGTCTATGTACATGTATGAATAAAAGGATCTGTACTCTGCATTGTGAAATGGATTATAGTGCAATATGAATTTTCATATTATTTATTATTTGGCTTTTCTCTCAGATACTGAATTGAATCATGAAATAATATTATTGCTACTGAAACCAAACAGCAGTTGAAAAAGCCATTTTATACATGTTTGTATCAGCTTTCTTCTGTTACTTTGACTTTTGCCATTAGAAGTCAAATATCAGAGTGCTAATGTTCAGATTAATTGATAAAAGCAATGTACATGTGCAGTGAGCTGTTTGCTTTACATGTAACAGTAGTAGCTTTTTGTTTGTATTATTCTCAGCCCTACATCTGTATGTAATCATTGCTGGTGTGCCAGAATAACTCTAAGAGCATTAATTAAAGCCATGATTACCATGTAATTAAGGTATCTCAGAATTACTTTTGAATTAACTGATAATGTGATCTTACATCAGTAACCTGACAACTATGTTTTTATCTTGGTCCATAAATAGAACTTTTTTGTGAATTTTATTTAGTTCTAGCTTTATTCAACCCAGCTTCACAATTTACATGATAATGCAGACAAGTACTTGTAACATTTTTGGTTAATGTAAATTTAGATACTGGTAACTGTTTTTTATTGAGGTTGGGTTAGGGTAACTGAATAATTATTAGGCTGACAGTAAAAAAAGAACGCTTGAATGACGAATAACAGTAAAAAAATACCCCTGAATAACGTTAAGTAGAAATGTTTTGTAGCACATTAATTACTAAGCATTGTTTAATAATGAGCAATACAGTAGAAATTGATTTTATGATGGATTGAACCTTGGCCTACTTTTTCCATGATACATCAATAAAATTATCGTCAAAAATTTAGCATTATTTTCTCAATTTAATGCACTCAAAAAATTACATCGCGTGATTCAAATATTGATTATCAAAGATACTTTCCCACAAAAGTATTTATTTGGTTGTTATGTCTAATAAAAGTATGGCAATTTTGGTATGGAAAGTAGCAGAGACACCCAATCTTACTAGAAAAATAATGAATTACTTGAAAAACATCCATGGAGTGCGCACTGAGTACAAAAATGAGAGAGTGTCACAAATTGGCAGCCTGAAGATTTAATGCTGTCTGCTCAAGTGACGTCAAAGCTTGCATGCGTAGATTGTCTTGGCTCTTAGACTTCAATATTTATGATAAATGGGCAGCTATTAAAGACAACATTGTCTTTAATATGCAATGAATTCTCCTCAAATCACGGAACACAAACATGACTTCTTATAATAGATTTTAATAGCTTGGGGTATTTCGTCAGGAATACAATGTCTTGTGAGGTATTGAAGCAAATTTTTGATAGATTAATTAGTTTGAATATGTTTTTAGTCCAAATATATCATCAAATCACCCAGTTTGTAGGTAGGAAGGTATCTTTAAAATACATGTATACACCAGATGACTTTTCTCACTAAATTTATTTACATTATTGTAGTAGACAGAATGCATTAATTATTGGTAATAGTAAGTCTATCATGTTGTGATGAGGACAGAGCCAACTTGTACAATTTTTTAGCCATAAATTCTAAGTCATAAGATATCTTTTAAAAAAAACAAAAACATTTTTGTTGAAATATGGTCATTAAATTTTCATAACTGTCATTTACTATACAATGTAAAAGGTCTAGATAGAAGAACAGTGTAGTCCTGATTGTCATTGCTATCATTGTTAATATATTAAACAAAGTCTCGTTTATCCATTTTCATGTGGACATATATTTCTTCTTTGATTGGTATTTAGTAATTGAACATTAACATAAGACCAAGGTACAATTTTATGGATACACAATTACTGAGTTTAATTCTAAGAGATGTTTAGACAAGATAAAGACGAGAGTCTCCTCGTCGAAACGTCGCTTATAATTAGTATTAAACTCAGTAATTGTGTATCCATAAAATTGTACCTTGTGTGGACATATATTTTCGTCGCCACTGTTTGTTCGGATGTCCAGATATTTATTTGTGGTCATTTTTATCCGATTTTGACGAAACTTGAAATATAGGTTTATATCCCAAAGATCTTGTTTCTTTTCGATATTGGCATGTATCATACATGTATCGTAATCTCATGGATTGTGGCTCCAGATTGTATGAAAAATTATGTTTTTAGCTTGTGGACACGATAAGCGGTCACAATATTTTTATCCGATTTTAATGAAACTTAAAATGTATGTCGGTTCATTTTGATATTCACAAGTCTGGCCATAACTTCGCTTTTTTGGTTTGTCGAACCTCTAGAGGTCACAATTTTTATCCGATTTTAAAAAAAAATTAAAAATATCACCATCACACCATAATGAAATTAATGAAATTAGGACCGAAACTGCCCGTCCAAACGGCTGCTTTTGTTTCCTTTTGATATTTGCGCATATCAAACTGTAACTTCCTGGATTATGGCGTCTGGCTGACAGTACAAAAAATCGTGTTTACATGTAGCTTGTGGATCCTTTAGAGATCGCAATTTTTATTTTAGCCTGTTCTCTATCCATCTCTTGCAAAATGTGGGCCTATCTTGCATGTCAACTGCTTGTTTAATTAAATTATTGACTGGCAGTCATGTTTAAATTAGTTGATTATGGACTTGGCATGTGAATAAATATCTAATAAATGATTTATACTTGAGTCCATACGAAAGATCTGCGTTTGGTAGATTTAAATTTTACATAATGCATCTTTAGAACTTGAAATGGTGAAACAGTGAGTTTGTGATCAATGGAAATAAACTAAATTTTGTCACTATACCAGATATTGACCTTTTCTGTTATCAAAAAGGCCATTGAACATTTTTTCTCCATGAACATTTCACCTGAACCCTTGTATTATTATTATGGCAATCACACAATATCAATTTTTGATGTAAAATAATAAAAATGTTAAGAGATCAATATTGATTATGCAAGGGACTAACTGTGAAAAATATGTGGTTATGTTACTTTGTTAGGAGTGAGTGTCTGTTAGATGAAATTTTAATACCTCCCATTCTCTTCACAATCAGGGTTAGGTTTGAGGTAGAAATTAAAAGACACGTCCCCTTTCCCAAATGCCTAATCACTACCTCCACCCCCTTAAATTGTAAACTGGCCCTATTTAAGGCTGCATCTCAAAGAGAAAGGGAATAAACTAATATTTATGATTGATTGATCAAGTTTTAATCATATTATATTCAGTATTGTTATGTTTTTTTAGGACCATGTGGAGGGAAGACAACTGGCCAGGCAAGATTAAGTTCATTTTTTGAAAACTTAGGATGGAAGGTAAATAAAATCTTCACATATCTTAAAATTTTAAGTGTAATAACACTTTTATCAGTTATGTTCAATATTTATAAATTACAATGTGACTACAACGCGTATACTCTTGCACATTATTTTGACTTCTTCTATAGTCATTCCATTCACAATAGTTTTATGTTCTGTGGTTAGTTGTCAGGGATAGCGTCTGTTAGGGCTGACACTTATATTGTATAATGTTGACAATTTGGTTCCAATAGAACAAAAAGCAGGGTCCATTTGTGTGTAATGTATGTTGTCATGTGCATAAAACAAACCTTGACATTTGGAATTTGATGAAGAATAGGAATGGCACACAAAAAAAATAACCACGGTTAGTCGCTCAAAATGACTGAAGTATCCTGTTTACAAGATTGTAAACTCCATTATTTTCATTTCCAAAACTACATTCTTTGTTCCTCCTCCAGGAGATACCAGGTTTCCTCTCCTTGTTGGCACTTGACCTCTTTTTTGCTTTTGTTGTGGGTTCCACTCTAATGCCTGAATGCAGATGGCACAAGGTATGTCCAATCCATTTCCACTTGTTTTTCTTTGATGGATTCACCTATAGTTTCAGGATGGGGACATTCATTCATCCTGTGTAACATTCATTTGAATTTTTATACGCCTACATCTTTATGTGGACGTATATTGTTGTCGCCACTGTCCGTCCGAATGGCCGGCCGTCTCCGTCCACAATTTGTTTGTGGTAACTTTACAGGTCACAATTCTTATCCGATTTTGACGAAACTTGAAATATATAGGTTTATCACCCAAAAGATCTCAGTTCCTTTTGATATTGGCATGTATCGGTTCGAAACTTCATGGATTATGGTCCCTGATTGTAGGAATAATCGCGATTTTAGCTTGTGGATACTCTACTAGAGGTCACAGTTTTCATCCGATTTTGAGGAAACTTGAAATGCATGTTTATAACCCAAAGATCTTGGATACTTTCGATATTTGCACGTATTGGATCGTAACTTCCTGAATAATGGCCCCAGATTGTACGAAAAATCGCATTTATAGCTTGTGGACCTGCTAGAAGTTACATCAATGAAGGTTGAGTTCGAATTTCGTAAAAATCTGACAAATGCTGGAACGAATTGGTTTCTCATTGTACGCAAATAGTGTAAAAGTATGTAATACCAAGGTTGTGAACCCTCTAGAAGTCACAATTTTTATCCGATTTTGATGAAACTTAAAATATATTTTTATATCCAAAAAAATCTCAGTCCATCTCGATATTCTCGCATTTCAGACCATAACTTCCTGGATTATGGCCGCTGATTGTAGCTTGTTCTCTACCCATCTCTTGCAAAATGTGGGCATATCTTGTCTGCCTACCGCTGATTCTTATTTCATGATGAAGAGAACACATGGATCAATTTGTCCTCAATCTTTTCACATGGCTAATTTTGTACATAAAATAACTATTTTTCAGGTTTTCCGCTCCCCAGAGGCAGCCATGATATATCTAAGGTAATGGATATATTAAAGAATTATTATTTACATAGTTAAATCCTATTATTTTAAATGATTTACTGTATTTTTCTGGAGATTTGACTACCAGTTTTGCTTTAAAGGAGCTATTTGTAATAAATAAGAAACCATATGTATTCTTCAGTGTATGACTGAGATTCACACCTGCTGTGGCTTATAAGTAAGCTGTAAGTCCATTATCTGTTTGAATACCGGTAACAAAGACATTTTGACAAATCTCTCATGAAAGAGCTTGAATAATAAGAAAATATGAATTCCTTTGAAAGACTGTAGTTTAATAATAGTAGATTTGATGGAGACTACTTTTATATATCTGCATAGTTTTTGTAGATATCAACTCAAATTTGACTCAACAAGATTCCTAGATCAATAAGATCATGATTTACTTGCACTTATACTGCACTCTATACATCCACATAGAAAATATTGCATAGTGCTGTGACGCTGTATTATTTTCAGTAATTACAGTTTGAGGTGTGGGCCTTAATCAATGTTAGAAATTACCAATACATGTTGTGTATTTTGAATGTTAGCAGTAACTAGAAGACATTCAAATTTTCTTATTTACTGCAGATACTTACATGTATTTCTTGTAATCCTCCCATTAACTACAAAAGTTTTCAGACGACTCAGGGTGTATGTTTAATTGCATGGCAACCTATTTTTGTAGTTGATATTAAATGTACAATTAACTCCAGGATATCTAACCAGTAAATTAACATATCTAACATTTGAAGCTTTATGTAGATCTATAAACATTTTAAAATGTTATATTTCAGCGGTGGTGTAAAATTCTCTGATTTAGATAAGGAGCAAAGTAAGCATTTTGAAAACACCAATTTTGTTAAAGACTCTATGCATGATTTAAGCTCTATAGAATCCCTTGCAAACTACAATATTACGAATATCAGTCCAAAATGGTTCGATTCCATTCAGTATTTACAAAGATGCATCTGGCAAATTGAAATTCCTTCGATCAATGCTGCACCTTGTGTGACATTACTAACAATAGTGCTGCCATCTTTATTATATGTAAACCAAGTTGAGGGGTCTTGGACGATTGACAGACATTGATTTTTGATATGAATTCACAATTCCAAGATGGTTGCCATGATGTCATGCTTAGTGTCGATGTATAAATATTTTTATAGTACATGATTCGTAATACATATATTGACACAGTACAGTTTTAGTTGATAGTTTGTTTTATTGATAACAATTCTAAATTGTTTCGAGCATTTTTCTTCCATAGATCCCACTCATACTTGTTAATAGGGCCTATACATATTTAAGACTTCGGACTTTCGTGCTGAATTATAAGGTCTGTCATTGAGTCAACTGGCATGGTTTCGATTCCCCGGTTGTACATGACAAGGAGTAGGGTCGCCTGTCCAACCTTGTGGGTTTCTCCAGGTCCTCCGGTTTCCTCCCACTGCTAAAGACCCCTATGCGCAAGCGAATTATTGAAATAAAATAGAACCATATGTTAGTCCCGAAATGGCCTAGTTTGTGTTGAGTGGACATTAAACCCCATTTCTCACTCTCTATTTAAGACTTCTGCTGTATGGCAGTAATTGAAAATAATTGCCAAAGTTAAGTTCTTTGCAGGTCAGTAAAAATAGCCAATGTAAAAAAAGAAAAGTCCATTGTATTACTTATTTATTTACTTTTGTTTTCAGTATACAAACTGCAAGAGAATATTATAAAGACAATGCTAGGAATAGAGAATACATATCATGATATGGCTAAAACACTGAACAGAAATATATTGTTAATATGTGATAGAGGTGTTATGGATGGCGTAGCTTGTAAATATTCTTTAAATTCTAAAAATCAATCCTCTTTATTTCAGAAAAGCCAGAAGCATAAAATTAGAATGTGGGATTGGGTGGTTAAGTGCACTTTAGATCATAAGGCTGTCATTGAGTCAAGTGGTGGTGTTTCTATCCCACACAAGGAGTAGGTTATCTGGGTTTTCTTTATCCTCTGGTTTACTCCCACTGCTTACATGGAGGTCCTGTGTTCGATCACTGCGTTGGCTGGAAAGTTCATCAGGATTTTTCCTTCCTGGTTCCTCCTTGTCAGTGATGCAGGGGCGAGGGTCTGGCTAGATGAATAACCCAGGTCTCATGTACACATTGGTGTGCACGTAAAGGATCCATAGGCAGTTGGAATTCGATATTAGAGTATGCCTGTCTTCATTAGCCCAGTTGGAGCAGAACAATAGGAAGTTAAAGCCCATGTCATTTGTTGGTCCAGTTAAACCCCAATTCTCTCTCTACTAATTAAAGTGCATTTTCTTTCATTTGGTGATAAGTAAGAATTAGTCATTTGTTTTGAGATGTTGAATACAAAAAGTATAATAAAAAAAACCCCTAGAAAATCAATAAATTTAAAAATAAACTTTTCTTGAGGTATAGTCTATCAGAGTGTAAATCTGTGAAAAAACTGTATATCTTGCCTGAAGCATATGCTTTAATGAATATATTGATAACACAACTATTTTCTGTATACACTACATTATGTTTCAATTTCAAATGTTATTTCTGATTAAAGGGAGAGTCTCAGATATTTTAGTGAATAAAACAGTGTAACTTAGGGTGAAAGTCTCTTGGAACCATTTTAGTTTAGTCCTACATGTAAAGGATATGCAATTATCTTAAAGGGACAATAACACTCTTGCTGGCTTGACAGCTCCAGAAAATAAAAAATAGCCTTATTCTAAGTACTAGATGTGTTAGTGTCCTACCTGTTGTGTAAATTATCCATTAAATCCTATTTTACTTGTCCAGAGGGTTCAAAAATATTTTTAAATCCAAGTCACATTTGAAAAGAAAAGCTTTACGTTAGGCTTTTCAAATCATTGAGTTGAATTTTTCCAATTTTTTAAATTAGATGTGTTAAGATAAAATTTGTATCATCAATTAATTGGAATACTGTAAAATAGTACAATTTGTTGACCAGAATAAAGATTGGGACATATTATTCAGTTACAACAAGAGTGATATTGAGCCTTTAAAAGGTTTGCGATACTTTATCAAAGAAAATAAAAACTTTTAGTTCTACATGTGGTGCAGATCATATGTCCACAAATTCAACGATGTATAATAGTCAGGATAATTATGTCTATATTATTGATGAATTTATAGTGGTAAGTAATCGTTGAGATTATCAAGTCACTCATTCAATTATCTGGTTCATTCTGACTTATAGATTTAATTGTCCTCAAATTAGAATCTTGATCCCTAATTGATTTTTAGCTCTTAAATAATCTGAAATATTTTGATTGTTTTCAGATATTGAAAGAGAAGATTGGGATAGAATGAAAGCGGAAAATAAATGGAATGATATTGAAATGCGAGATAATAGATATAATCAAATTATTCATATGGTGTCAGCATCTAAAGGTGCTGAGGCTTTTTATACAATAACAGGACATAAAACACGAGGTGAAGATATGGAAATGGCTAGAGAACTTGATACTAAAACTGCTAATGTAGGTTTCATCTCACAGTTTTTATTTTAAATCCATACAATTGATTATAACATGGAGGTTAAATAGAATATTAGAATTCTGTTGATTTCCATATGGATCTTACGTCTGATTATGATGGAAGTTATGTAATAGTATTCTGTTGACGTAATCTATAACGAAAACAAGAAAATATGTCTTAGAAATATAAAAGTAGCCCTTTCCCAATGGTGCATGCAGATAATATCTATTTTTTGCAGCTTGATACATGGTAAAATGTATCTAAATTGATTATTTGGTATTTAATAAAGAAAACAAAACCAAAATATCAATGCTAGATAATCACTCGGCTTGGGTTTTAGACGGGTAAAGAGGCAATCAAAAGATTTTACACAACATGTACATATTGTTGTTGGTCTGTTCGTTGTTCTCAATTGCCCATGGACACTTTAGAGGCTATGGTTATCAAGTTATTTACTTGAAATTTATACACTCTATTAATGTTCTTGAGACAAATAAGTGTACCGTCAGAATTATGACCCTAGAGTCTAAACCTATCAGGTTTATGTAGGTCACAATTCTATGGAATACAATTACTGCTTATTACTGAGCAACGCTTCAACTAGACTTGAAACAATTTAGCTATCAGGTTGATTTGAAATGAAATGAGTTTAACATCAAGCTGTTCTGCTAGGTTGATTTGAAGTTCATACACAGTGTTTATGTTCATGAGGTGAAGAAGCCTTTGATATTAAACAATTGCTAATGTCTGGAATGGCATCTGATTATCAGTATGTTTCTATATAATGAATGTTAGCAATCTAATTCTAATTATTTCTCATAATTACCGTTATTTCATTTTTAGAGTCTTATAATTGCTTCAGTTACCTGCAAAGTAATATATTTTTGACAACCTTTGTGGACTGCTCAGACAACTGTGGATGCATGTTTCGTTGCCTGGCAACCCATCTTTATCTTGGCTGAGGATGTTGAATGTTTCAATCCAGCATTTCTTACGGAACAAAACTGAATCATTTTTATACTGGTATTCCTTAGAGAATACTGTAATTTGCAAGTGATTCAAAATTTGTCAAATGATGGTCATCAGTTTCAACTGGATGTTTTTTGTTTTCAGTCTTGGGTTGGTCATCCATATTTCGATGTGATTGATAATTCTACAGGGTTCGAAACAAAACTAACCAGAATGATAGCAGTAAGTAATATTTTCATAATGTGAGAATTATTTTCAGCTATTTTCTACAGATAAATCTCGTGTATTTAAAAAATCTACCCATCTCTTAACCCTTCATTCATTCCAATTGATGTACCTGTGATAAATTAATGCTACAAATTATTGTCTTGTCTGATTGGAGATGTGCGATGTCTGTACCAATCACAGCTTAGTTCTTGTTGACGGTTGAATTAAAATCGGACGTTTCCAAATCAAGTAAGTTAAAACTAAGTGGAAATTTCATGTGAAATCACAGTGGTGCATGATAATTTATTATATAATTTGAATAGCCAGTGCACATAGATGGCCCCATTGGAGTGTGTCTACGCTATAATTGTCTGTGATAGGCATGTCTGGTTTTATCATGTTAATACACCTTTTTAAATGCAATTTAGTACATTGTTACCTTGACCCTGGGAATATGTTTGAACAGAAGGCATTTACAGTTATAACATTGCCTATTTTCATAATTTTTGTAATGAAAGATATATATCTGTAAAAGTAATCATTTTTGTGTTTCATCCGAAATCGGGTGGTTGGAGGGTCGAATGGTTAGTGCGTGTACGTTGCATCATAAGGTCTGTCATTGAGTCAACTGGCGTGGTTTCGATTTCCCGGTTGTACGTGACAGGGAGTAGGGTCACCTGTCCAACCTAGTGGGTTTCCTCACACTGCTAAAGACCCCTACATGCAAGCGATTTATTGAAATAAAAAACAGAAATAACCAAATGTTAGTCCTGAAATGACCAAGTTTGTGTTGAGTGGATGTTAAACCTCATTTCTTTCTCTTTCATCTGAAATCAAAGAAGTCAAATTCTTTTGAAACAAAACAAAAAAAATTTTGAAACAAGGAAGTGAGCCAGCATTTACATGGTGTGTGTTTCCTCGTTGTTATTAAGTTTTGTTTACACAACATTATGTCATTTGAACTTTTTCTTCCTCTTTAATATCGTGTCATAAAGCAATGTTAAAAATCCCTTATTTCTGTATCCTCAAATGTCATTTAGAAGTTGTGGTATTATTAACATTCCGATTTATGTTATTTATGCAAGGTTTCAATACTCTAACAGCTGTCTTTATGAGACGGAGATCACAATTATTTCTGGTCTAATTTTTTTTCCCCTCATACCAATTTATAGTGCAAATTGATATTTAATTATTTATATGATCAATATGAGATTATTTTCCCTCTCCTTTCAAAGAAAATAGCGGATTATAAAGATGGGTCCGTCTGTCTGTTCGACCATCCATTGGTCCATCTGTCTGTTCCTCTGTTCACACTTGGAGTGGGTGTTTATTAGGTCGATGACTTGATGGAGTTGCACAATGAGCATTTTCTGCTTAGGGTAAGCAGAGATAAGCAATTTGATTGTTTGATGTTTTGGGACACGATAACTTTAGTTCTAATTGAGAGTTAGGACACTTGGTGTATAGTTTTATCACATCAATACCTTGACTAAGTTCGATACTGATGGTTTTCTGCTCAGGGTAAGTAGAGCGATAAGCAATTTGATTGTTCGAGACTTTGGAACACAATAACTCTGCTTCTAATTGAGTAACAATGATCACACTTGGTGTAGGTGTTTATTAGGTGAATGCCTTGATGGAGTTCAAAGATGAGAATTTTATTGCTAATCACTTAGTGCATTGTGAAGTTGGTAAGAGTTTTTTCCCAAGACCCAGTGCCTGATTTACCTATAAACTTGGCATCCAGAAGACTGTGTCCTTATGACCTAGTAAGGGGCCTCTGTCCAAAGTGTATAATATCTGCGGAACTGTCTAAACTCGACCTTAAATGCACTGTAGTCTTCAACTTCTGTCATCACCCTCGGCTTTGCTCAATTGTATTTAAAAAACACTTTACTCCTCCTTTAGTTGTGAGGGTAGGGGATTCGTCCTCATAAGTGGAATAGCCTAGGGTATTTTTTTTTACCTGAATCTGGCATCGTCAAGACCCCACAGTAGAACTTTGTCACAAGCCTCTGATTAAATGCCTTTAAAAGTCATCTCAGGTCACCAAACTCAGAGGTTGAATATGTTTAATGGCTGAGAGCAAGACATTAAGTAATATATTGTAACAATATATTGTAGGCAAACACTCTGCATGTGCTTTTACAGTGAAATATGTCACGAGAGTCCAATATTACACCAGTATAAATAATGTATGATTGGAAAGTTGCCCATACAATTATTTGAAATAATGGTATGCCGACATCGAAGGGTGACGTCCCATCTGTATTTTAAGACCTCATAAAAGAGCTTTTGTTAATATAAGTCAAGTAAATAAATTGTTGATTAAATACCATGAATGAAATGTTTTGTAGGCAGTATGTGATAGACTTGGTGTTGATGCCGGTGACAGATTACAAGCCAACAGCAAAAAACGAAAATTCCTCGTTTCTCAAATATTAAATGGAGTTGTAAGTTAACAAGAATATTCTGATTTCAATTACAAGATTGCCCAGTGGAAGATAGTGCAAACAATTACACAAAGAAAACTGATACTAGTTTACTGAACACGACAACATCAATACACTAGAAATAGAAACCATTATAACATTGAAGTCAATGAAGGTTATATTGTAGTAGTCCACTGAGCATGTCATGACACACATTCACATAAAAACAGCAGAGATTCAACTTGACACAATTAGAAATGATTCTGTTTCCAGATTTATGAGGTTATAGTGTTAGTGAATCATGGCAAACCCACTATGGTTCGATCTGAATGAAGATTTGTAGACATTGTTTCTTTATTTGATTTAAGATTATCTTATTTACTAATCAGAACAATAATTGAGAACACAATATGCTACCTAACATAAGTATTTGTTGCTGAAGTCTATTAAATAAAGGAAATGGCAGCTTATTGACCCTATTTCCTTAAGCTGACAATGATTTCTAGTGACCTAATAATTCTGGCCTCTGTTAACCCCAACTAAAATGTATGATGCACAAAATGTTAAAACAGCATCCCTAGTTTGACTGCTGATTATCTAAAAATTGAGGTAAAATATGTGCATACATAGAGCCACCACCCCACTTTATATGAGCCCTAAGTTTAGTTGGTTGTGGTGGAGACCATAGCTTAGAAGACTGTATTATTGAAACTTATTTGTATTGGTATTGGCCATGGGTGACTAGTCATGGGCTAGGTGATTCTCTTTTGCTCCATATTTTAATGAATTTCAACCTTCTATATATTTTTTTTCGTTTCTGTCTCAGAGATTTCCATTTTTACAAGAATTTCAAGTTGTGCATGATTATTTAGTTACACCAAGTCGTAAAATGCAAGCTAGGCTTCGACGTCGGGGACAAAATGGTAAGTGTGTAGTTTATTTCATATGAACATCAAATTTCAATGTTCTACATTATTTATCTCATCATATGTTTATTCATGTTGATTATGCAAATTCACATAAATACTATTTCTTGTGATTTAAACTTTACTGTTATTTTCACCATTGAAAAGCTTGATGATGCAGCTCTAAATTGTTCATTCAGTCATTTCTTCATCACATAGACCATGCAGTTCAGAGAAACAGAATAAATTCCTGTATATGACCTTATTGACAACCTGGCTAACTGCCAGGTTCCAAGAAGAATCTGTATAATGTTTGTATTAAAACGACTGTAATGTTATAGCCCAATCAATTCCATCATCTCAAAATATTGGTACATGTACATATTAAAGATGTATCATGTAAGATTTACATAAAGGGCTGAAAGTTCTTGCTCTAATATTTTAGAAATAAATAATGAAAAGGGAATATTTTAAAAATTTCAGTTTGAAGAATAGCATAGTCTTGATTATCATTGCTATTGTTGTTACGATATTAAACAAATAAATTGAATGATTAAACGGCATTCATGTTTCAAAATCACAACCACCTGATGTCCTAGAGATTTGATTATGGGCTTGTCATGAGAATAAATGAATTGATCATTTATATATAACATTTGAGGCCAAAAGAAAAGATCTACAATAGGCAGATACATGCTCTTACATAATGCATGTTTAACATGTATTTTACAGAATTTAATGATTTTGCAGAGTTGATTTATTCACCTATACTACTGAACTTTAGTTAGTAATTTAATGATATTTTACATAGTTTTATTTATTATATAGATCACTGGACATACACTCATACCATTCGGCGACCAGAAATTAATAAACAAAGTGTTGAATTACGTCAACCTATTTCATCTAAAGAATATGAGGTAACTCATTTATTTCTCTTTAGAAAAACTAAAGATTTATTCTTTAATGACATGATTTGTGTAACATGCATAAATATAAAAGTAAATACCTTCAGTTTAAAGACAATGATGGTCATTTGACAGATTATAAATCCCTTGCACCTCGCAAACTACAATATAACTACAATATTGTGGAAGTTAATCTCTAATTGGAATATCAGTCTAAAAATTCTTTAATTCTATTCACTATTTACAAAGATACAATGAATTGAAACTTTCACAACATTCAGCATCTAGTGCAGATAATTTTAGTATAACTTTGTACCAAAATTGTGACCAATTTTCTATAATATAAAATACAAACATTTATTTAGATGCACTGAACCCATTGAACCTCACCTTTGTTGTAATTACAGACTTAATAAATCCCACATGTCTTTGACAAGTTACAATGATCTGTAAATATACAATAACATGGTATAAAACAACTCCATATATAATTATGACCTTGTGTTTTGAGACCCTGTTCCTTATAAGATGTTCGTATCCACTTTCCCTTTTGTTGGACGCTATATAACCGTGAGTTTCCTGACAGTAAGTGAGACTTGGAATAGGGTTCCTTCCAACTTATTTCTGTTTCATGTTCGTAATAACGTTCTTATCATTGTGCTGATGTTCTGTTATCTGCAGTGTTACAAAATTTCAGTGTAGGCCCTAGTCCTACCCATGCTTTCAACATTCTGTCATTTAAGTTGTCTCAGAAATATGTTTCCAATAAATGATTGAATGGGTTAAAGGTTTTATTTTGTATCTTCCAGTTGATGTTAAAATGCAGGTTGATAGATGTTCTACAGGAAGTTGAAACATATTTCTTTTATCCTATTTTGATTATTTTATTTTTAGTAGAATGAAAGGTGTCTGATTAATTCTCTTTAATTAGAATGTAAGAAAGACCTTTACGTCAAAATAAACCACATATTCACGAATGGCATATTGAAATATATTTTCAGATTTTACAAGCTCAGAGAGATGGCCGACATGACACTATATATAAAACAAGACAGTGTTTCTTATGGCAGAATCAGTATTTTCAAATGGATATTTATCGAGATCCATGCCCTTCAAGGTATCGTATTACTAACATTTTATTTAATGATTTGCATTTCATTACCACCATCATAGTATACAACATACTGCCATGCTCTCAATAGGTCATTTCTCCATTTTTATACGCCCACATTGAAATGTGGTCGTATATTGTCGTCGCCCCCGTCCGTCCGTCCGTCCGTCCGTCCGTCTGTCTGTCTGTCTGTCCGTCGGTCCGGCGTCCAGGCGTCCACAATTACTTGTGGACGCTCTAGAGGCCAAATTTAATATCCGATTGACTTTAAATTTATTTACAGTGTTTAAGGCCATGAGACGAAGAAGCCTATTGATTTTCAGCGATTTCCGATAATTACTGCCAGAGTTATGGCCCTTGATCACTTCAAAAAATCTTGTGGACGCTCTAGAGGCCAAAGTTAATATCCGATTGACTTTAAATTTAAACACAGTGTTTAAGGCCATAAGACGAAGAAGCCTATTGATTTTCAGCGATTTCCGATAATTACTGCCAAAGTTATGGCCCTTGATCACTTCAAAAAATCTTGTGGACGCTCTAGAGGCCAAAGTTAATATCCGATTGACTGTAAATTTATACACAGTGTTTAAGGTCATGAGACGAAGAAGCCTATTGATTTTCAGCGATTTCCGATAACTACTGCCAGAGTTATGGCCCTTGATCACTTCAAAAAATCTTGTGGACGCTCTAAAGGCCAAAGTTAATATCTGATTGACTTTAAATTTATACACAGTGTTTAAGGTCATGAGACGAAGAATCCTATTGATTTTCAGCGATTTCCGATAATTTTTGCTAAAGTTATGACCCTTGATCACTTTGAAAAATCTTGTGGATGCTCTAGAGGTCAAAGTTAATATCCGATTGACTTTAAATTTATACACGGTGTTTAAGGTCATGAGATGAAGAATCCTATGATTTTCAATGATTTCCGATAATTTTTGCCAGAGTTATTGCCCTTGATCACTTTGAAAAATCATGTGGATGCTCTAGAGGCTAAAGTTAATATCCCATTGACTTTAAATTTATACACAGTGTTTGAGGCCATGAGATGAAGAATCATATTGATTTTCAACAATTTCGGATAATTACTGCCAAAGTTATGGCCCTTCATCACTTTGAAAAATCTTGTGACGCTCTAGAGACTAAAGTTATCATCTGATTGACTTCAGATTGATACACAGAGTTTAAGGTCTTGAGACAAACAAGTATATTGATTTTCAATGAATCTTTATGACTTGAACAGCTAAATGCATGATGTTAAAAGTTTTGTATACCAAACGTTAGCATGGGGCAGAACTTTATAAAAACCAAACAAATTCTATTGGTTTTCTGATAATTACTTAATGAGTTGTTACTCTTAATCAGATTTTAATGTATTATAAATGTTTCATTACCGAAAAAAGTAAAAATATGCGACAACTCTTGTTGACTGCCCGGATGATATAGCTGCTGTGGGAGTATGATTCGTTGCCTGGCAATCTATCTTTTTTAAATCTAAAACGTAGCCAGTCTGAAATGTTCACAAATTCTTGGGTTTAGCTGACCAATACTCCTTGCAGTGTTTTGTTTGATTAGACCTAAGCTCACTCAAACACTGCTGGACTCACCTCTAATTCCTGTCCCAAATTATGACTAGTTAACAGTTGAGTTAACCAATACATTACAGCGTAACAAAATCAATCAGTTTTAACCACAGCTTTAAATATGTTAATGTAAGTGTATAATGACTATTGCAGCTACAATTTATTATGCTCAATTAACCGGCGCATAGCAGAGTATTACTTTTTATGATCTCCACTTGATATAGATCTGAATGGCTTGTGATCAGGTCAGGTCAGAGGTCATATAGTTGAACCATGTCAAATAGGTGTCTTCCAAAATTCCATGCAGAGATAGTCCACAGCATCAAAAGTATTTCTGAACTCCTCCAGATCCTAATAAATCAGAATTTGAGCAATATAAAGAATGAAACAGACTTTATTTAGCATATTTTATTTATTTCAGATGTAAAGGGTTGATATTATTAGAAACATATACTGCTAAAGATAAGGAAATTTCTCTACCCGACTTCCTGAAAATAGAAAGGGAGGTAACCGATGAAAACTTTTACTCCATGTTCAGTCTGTCATTGAAAGATGAATGGAGAATATCTCGTAATCATCTAAATTCTGTCACCTCGTTACCATCTGATGAAGATTAACACAATCTCTCATTTAGTATAAATATACCGGTAATAACAATTGATCTTATACTATGTAACAAGATCTGTTGAATGGAGTTGTAACTAAACAGAATTGAAAGATGTAATAATCTGTAATAAATAATGACCAGAATATTATCTTTCAAAAAAATAATCATAATAATAATAATACTATCGTCATTTATAAAGGGTGTTAATACTGAAGAACAGTTTCTAAGGCACTGTAGGTTGTTATATTCGCTGATTATTTACAGATCAGGGTTTAGGAACAGGAATATTTTAAGTTGAGATTTAAAATGGCCAACAAAACAGTCAGAGAAATCGTCAGATATTTAAATTAGCTTATGTAGCTTTTAACCAGTGTTGGGATTTCAAAAAATTTCTTGTCAAACATTTTTACTGAAAATAAAGGGGCATAACTCTTATTTAGGCAGGCAGTTCAACAAAATATTCAGTGACATCATCTGTTAAATAATTGCAATCGACTGTAGCATGCACTGTCGTCTAAAACAATTAACTACTTACACGATTCCAATCGAAATATTCGTCAACATTTCTTAGCATGTTTATTTATTTAAAAACATAAAGCTCATTCAAAGTATGATCATAAATTCTAGAATGTGCCATCCATGTAGAATCTTTTCTCCGACATTAGACGTGTTGAATTTTTCACCTTTCCATTTCATAATTTCACGCATCTCGCGAGATTTCTACTTTCGTTTCAGTTATTGTACTAAAATCTCATGCTATCAGAAATGGAGCTTGCGCTGTCTAGTATTTTTCGGATTTTTGTGAGAGTGAAATAGCTTTATTTAATGCCAGCTTCCACTGATGTGATATTGCAGACAAGTTATCAGAATGTATATTGATTTGGGGTGTCATATACTATTGGGATATGTGACATAAATGGCTAATTCTACAAACGTTTGACAATGGAGAAATCACGTGGATTAAGTTTATAATCACATTTATTGGATTGATTTAGAATCTGACAGAGAAGCAATGACTTCTGTTTAAGATCAAATTGATGAATTGTCCGACAAAGGATTAAGTCAGTCAATCAAGGCAGATTAAGTAGTTAAGTAGAAGAGTGGTAGTTATACACTCAGTACACTATATTAATTTTGGAATTTTGAATATTATTCACCATGTCTTGATGTCTGATTGGGCATATTCCTGGTCGGACAATTTAGGAAGTTTGGAAAATAGCGTCGGACATGTCCGGAATATACAGGCGAAATCCCATCACTTCTTATAACTCATAAGACAATTCTGATCATAAAACGAAAAATGATTTTCTTGTGTTATTTAGACATGACGTTATTTAGGGATGTGACTTGTCCAAAAAACGAAAAAATTATTTTTGCATGTTATTTTGAATTTAGACTTACATTATGTGATTTTAATCTTATATATATATATATATATATATATCAAATAAATATGCTTTGTATTATTGTATATATAAAAAGTATTATATACGGCAATACTTGGTCGATAACAAGAAATATTTTATATTTGATATATTCATTTAATTAACTTTCAAGTTGCAAGTAGTCAAATCGGAAAGGTAGTGTTGAAATATCTAAATTTCTAAATTTAACATATTTTGATGAAAGCCAGAAAAATATATTATTGATAAAAATGAATAATATATCATATAGATGTATTATTATTTTCATATGGGATTGATATAAACAGTATTTTATTCAATAATATTACGATAATTGGATACAATAACAAGCTTTATCAGCTTATATAAAACTACCTGACTTGTATTAATATTACCTGTTTATACCAGCACTTGATACAGCCCCATCTGCTATACATATTAATACTTCACTAATATGCTGTTCCAATATCTATATATTAAGCTAGTTTAATAAATAAATACTTTATCAGGTAAAGCGTACAACTGTCGTTGATTTGAATCTTAATTAAAAAATTGTCTGGCGGGATCTTTTTGATTCGTATTTAATACAAAAGGTTAAGTAAACATGTCGTACTTGCCAGTGTACAATATGTCGTGCACATTAAAGATCCATTTATACATTAAATGTTTTAATTATGAATTGAATGATTTATACATGTATTGTGATTACAGGGTATAGTTTTATATTGTTGAAAATATGATCAGATTATAAACTAGTCCTATTCTTCAATTATTGTAATGATACCAGCACTTAGAAATATCACGGGGAAAAATTTTAATATAATCATTAATCTTTGTGTTCAAAGCAACTTTACTTTCAAGTAAGATTTGGAATAATCTTTTTTTGTGTAATATGAGTTGCTGTTTAATCGTATAGGGCTGATCATATGTTGTATGTTATTTCTTTTTTTTTTTTTTTTTTTTTTTTTTTTATTTGTTGTGATTTTATTTTAATGTGTTATTACCTTTAATCCATGACTACTTTGGTTTATAGTTTGAAAAGCAGAAATAAATGCATCAAATATATCATCATCATTATTGAAACTGTTTCATGCTTTTTCTTAAGACACCACACACCCTTGATACAGGTTGAGTTTGTAAAACAAATAAGTTCTTTTTGTCCATTATATTGTAAATACTGATACACTGATGTAGCATATTCATTTGGCAGCAACATTTTATTGACATTTTTTTGTGTGTGATTTTTTTTTGTGTAATGTATATTGATTTTTTTGTTGCTGTGAAAATAGGTGAAATCCATCCTGGAGAAACAGAATGCTAACTATTTACATGTAATTTCACATCTACAATTTTAACAATTATTTTAAAAATCCAATAATGTTTAATATGTATTCTGGGTAGTATGTTGCAGTTATAATGCTGTCCAGCTATTCGCTTCAAAATATTCAATATAATAAAGATGCATTTATATGTAAGCTTTATGTACAGAGTGGGCCATTATTGCTATAATAGTCAATTAATAAAAAATGAATATTATTGAAAATTTCAAGCAGCATTTAATCTTTTATTTTGACATTTTCCATTATTATGTATTGTTATCGTGTGGACTCATTTATTATATCATTCTACTATTTGATATTCAAATACTGAATGTTCGTCTACGATGTGCATGCATCCTAGACATTGTAGATTTGAAGTTTAAAGAGGCATTTTATTTGTTTTCATGACCGAAAGGTTATTGAAATGCTTACTAAATATAATTTGTACCGCAAATTATTATTACAGTTGTATTTGAAACTGGACCGTATTTATGATTGAAATTAAAGCATTTATATTTGCATAGTATATCCTATTCTTATTAATTTATATTCAAACCTGGCTTACATTAAACATTATTATTACTGAAGCAATATAATTAATGGATAAAATTAGAATATAAGTTACTAGATCTACAAATTGTTAGTTTATAATATGCATATAGTTTGGGTACCACAATAAACTAACATTTGGTGGATCTAGCAGCTTGTATTCTAAATTTATGGGTTAATTAGAAAGCCTAGAATTGTCTACAACAACCAATTCCTGACATGTCAACATCAGACCATTACTATTCTGTTTCACTAAACATCAGATGATATCCCTTTTTGCAAAAATGAACTTCCTGCAATGGCTTTATATTTTTAACTGAAAATGAAATGGGCTCAAACGTCCTACTTTTCTGCAATGATTGGGCTAATGAAGACAGAGAGAGAGAAATGGGGTTTAACGTCCACTCGACACAAACCAGGTTATTTCGGGACTAACGTATGGTTTAATTTTATTTCAATAATTCGCTTGCACACAGGGATCTTTAGCAGTGGCAGGAAACCGGAGGACCAGGAGAAAACCCTCCATCCTGCACCCACTGATCAGGGGGAAACCATGCTGGAAAATTTCAGGGAACTCTCTTTACCAACAATGATATCGAACCCAGGACCTCCTGTTTAGTTGGTCTGCACCTTAATTACTGGGCCACTAAAGCTCTCAAATTTGTATTTGTTCAGATTCAAATATCTGTTGCAGACATTATTACATCCCTTGGACACCAGATTAATGCCATAAAGGAAGGATTTTTGAAATGCTAATATCAAAAGGCCTACATGAATCTGATGTCTCCTTGTATACTCCCCAATCCCAAAATAGATGACACTCAATCATTTTGTCTTATAATAAGGAATCGAAGCATCAATAAATCAAATTGCTTATATCTGCTTAATCTATCCAGAAAGTTCATCATCGACCTCAATCAAGACATTCACACACTTAACATCTAAACTAGTGGTTCTCAACCTTTTTTGCCAATGGAACACATGAAAAAAATAGTGGCACACCTGGCTAAATATATATAAAAAATATTTGAATTTTGCAAAATAAAAACATGGCAAGTCAGACAGAATACAACCGTAGACACAGATAGTCATAGACACATAGAGTGACTCAAACTAAAAAAAAACCCACAACTATACTCAGCCAAATTAAAAACTTGACACTTGGGATTTTTGGGACTAGATTTTTAATATTTGGTTTAAGGCAACTATTTTAGTGTTATGTTGTGCACAGACGGCCTTGACATCAACAGAAAGCAAGAATATGTCTCGCCGAAAGTCCTTGACATTGATAAAGTTTGTGATGTCACAGTACCCCCCAAATGAAATTCACAGACTTGGAGAACAATCGGAATAAAGTGTTTAGTAACGGTTGTGGCCTCCTCTAGCGTCTCATATTGCCACACAACGTCTTCTCATGGATCTCAGAACATTAGTAAACACTACCCGAGGAAGATGTCGCCACTGCTCAGCAAGAGCATGTTGAAGGTCCTGCAACGTCAGTGGTGGATTCACTTGCTGACGAACACGTCGACCCAGTTCGTCCCAGATGTGTTCAATAGGATTAAGGTCGGGGTTAAGCGACGGCCAATCCAGAACTTGGACACCGGCATTTCTTAAAAAATTCTGGGTAGCAATTGCTGTATGGGGTCGAGCATTGTCTTGTTGAAACGTTAGTCCAGGCCCATGTCTCTGCATAAACGGAAGAAGAACAGGTTGCAAAATCTGATCCCTGTACTGGACAGCATTTAAGTTCCCTTGGACAACAACAAGAGGAGAACGTCCATGTGCACAAAAAGAACTCCAAACCATGACGCTGCCACCACCAAATCGGTCAACTTCTCTGACGCATACTTGAGCGTAACGTTCACCTCGTCTGCGGTACACTCGGGCCCTGCCATCGGCAAATTTCAAAGTGAATCGAGATTTGTCACTAAAGACAACCAAAATCCACTGTCTTTGACTTGAGTAAATCTTATAAGTTATGTGTCTTGTGGCCCACACAAGTCGGTTACGGCGATGAAGAGGTGTCAATATTGGTCCATTATAGGGCCTCCGAGCTCGAAGACCAGCAGCCTGCAAGCGATTTCGAACAGTTTGTGCAGTTACCCTTCCACCAAACATCTCTCTACTTGTGGAGGTTGCAGCATAGAACTAAATACACTGGAATGCCAACGAGCGTCTACTTCTGTCAAAATTTGTGGCTTCGCGACGTTATTCGAGAAAGTGCACGGTTTACTTCCTGTATCTTGTTAGCAGACGATAATAATGGGGGGAGCCAGTATAGAAGCGTTTTTACGGGAAACCGATTAGGGCTAACCGATTTGCATTTCCTTTCCAAAAACATTTACGGCAAAAATTAGCCTAATCGGTTTCACATTATGGACATTCCTAATAAAAATACGGGGCATTTGGGGACAGTCAACTGGTACAACTTTTCGTTTTTATTTTTGGGCGGTGTCGCCAAGAACATAATAAAGAAAAGTGAATTTTTTTCACATTTTTCCTCAATTCTTCAGTTTTCAGCCATCTTGCGAGGCAATTAAACTCACCGCGTTTACGAGAACCGATTCGAATACCAACTCGATACCTATGTCTTTGTACAAAACGAGATAGGTAATCGAAACCGATTTGTTTTATCGTAAAAACGCCTTAGATATATAATAAGGCTCTGGGGGGAGCTAGGCTATCAAAAAATAAAGGCCTTTCTTTCTTCCATCTACCGAAAGGACCAACTAACCTTGACTGGAGGGGAAAAATCTTAACCATCGTCAGACGAACACGCCAAGATCCTATTAATAGTATTAACGAGGACAAAATAACAATTTGTTCCCGTCATTTTGAGCCTGATTGCTTAGTGGAAAATTTAAACAGTATTAAGTAGGTCTATTTTTATTAGGAGAGAGTGAGAAAGAAATGGGGTTTAACGTCCACTCGACACAAACTAGGTCATTTCGGGATTATCATATGGTTTTATTTTATTTCAATAATTCGCTTGCGCGTAGGGGTCTTTAGCAGTGGGAGGAAACCGGAGGACCCGGAGAAAAAACCCACAAGGTTGGACAGGCGACCCTACTCCTTGTCACGTACAACCGGGAATTCGAAACCACGCCAGTTGACTCAATGACAGGCTTTATGATACAGCACGCACGTGCTAACCATTCGGCCACCCAACCCCCCTATTTGTATTAGGCCTAACTGTAAATGTGCTTGATATGAAGTAACAATAGCATTTTTCTTGATTTTCTTTTTCACCACAAATTTATTTTATTTATATAATTCATAACAAGGCTTTATTTTAGGCTACCGCGTATGCAACGCCGGATTAACCATGGGCCCAGCCCCCCCCCCCACAAAAATCACAGTTGCGCACCTCGAGTATGGTCGGACCGAGGACGGTGACCTAGTGACGGGGCCCCTCCGATGCTTCGAGGGCCCTCCATCGGAAGTCTCTGGGGCCACATTCCCCAACGTTGAAGCAATATTGAGAATATATCTGTGTATGATGATTGTAACCGATTCATAAAACGGGTCAGTTTGTACGTTGGAACAGCCTTAAGTTAATATGATAGAAGAGCTTTTAGTTTAAGGGATAGGTTATTGTTATTGTCTAATAATATGAACTCTGTGAACTGTTGTAATGTTTTTTTGATGTATGTTTTTTATGTATATTAATTTATTACGTTATAAACTTCCAGGCTGCGCTACGCTTCGTAAAATAGTAACCTAAAGCATTGATGTTAAATTGTTTAATATCCCTGCGTAATTAATGCTCCCTGTGTCAGTCTTGCAAATGGCTTTCCTAGAAACCATGTTTTTTCGTTTTTGCGTGTGGTCAAGTTAACAGGCTCTTGGAGGTAAATAATTCTGTAATATTGCATTTGTATGTCATATTTCGTTTAATGTAGTATTCATTTATTTGTCCTGCTATGTTTTGCGTTGTGTTAAACTGTATTAATTTGTATTTTTCAGTTTTCACGTCTGTGTTACCGGCATGTCTTTTAATTCAAGTCTGGAAGTTCGAGTCTAAGTTGTTTGCGTTCATCATGTTGTATGATATTCTACGTTAGGCTATTTCCAATGTTTATACGATGATATCCTCGTCCGATGTCATGAAGCATTAAAGAGACAATGAATAAAGATATGTATATGGTGTATTACAGTTAGTCGAGTCTCCTTTTCAATCTATGGTGTTATACTCCTGTTATCATGATCACAGGCTGGGTGCGTTCGTCGATTACATGTCATTTCGGTCCCGCGTCATTTCGGACTTACGTCATTTCGGACTCCAAAAAATATGTCCCCGACATTTCGGACTCGGGTAGGTGACATTTCGGACTCGGGTAGGTGACGTTTCGGACTCGGGTAGGTGACGTTTCGGACTCGGGTAGGTAAGATAGAATTATACAACACACTGACGCCAATTTACTTTATAAACTATTTTATTTATCAACATAGCATAAAATGATAACATCGATTTATAACAACGGGCATATTATTTTATTTTTAAACATACCATATAGCGATAACAACGGTCATATAAAACATTCATTTATTGTATAAATACATACACATTCATACATTAACGCAACATTTATAACAACACGTGTATTTATTTGATGAAAAAATAGCTTTAGTCGGCTATTCATTTTTTTTTTTTTTTTTTTTCATTTTTTTAATTATGTAATTGTTTTTCACTGAGCGGGTGGACCATACAAATGACTTATTTTTTTTAATAGTCTACTAGTGCTCATCTGTTTTTCATTGTATGAATCCCATATATTAAAAAGTTGGCCTTCTACATGTCGATACCGACATTAGAAACGCCGATCAGTGTTTTTATTTCTCAATCATTTCTTAGCGGCTATTAGAAACGCCGATCAATTATCGCTATTAATCTTAAATACAACAATGGGATGGTTTCACTAATCGCTGGATTCACTAATCGCTAGATTAAAACAACAATCGCGGATCGATTATCGTCAACAATCTAAACTAATTCATCGTCAACAATCAAAATTTACTCATCAAAATACAATAATATCCGATCAAGTAAATAAACAAATACAAAAAAGGCAAGTAGCATAGGTTTTACTTCAAGTTCAAGTTCAAAGGCGTGTTGTCAAGTAATGGCCTGTATGGGATAAATAAAACAAGACTAACAATGTTTAAATCTTTATTAATGTGAATGGTCTGTCTTGAGCCTCACCTACAACGAAAGAAAAACAGCTATTACTAATATATACACACATAATTTTAAGTTTTATTTGAGTCCGAGTCCGAGTCCGAAATGTCGCCGGTCCGAGTCCTAAATGTCGTTTGACTGAGTCCGAAATGACACCGAGTAAGTCCGAAAAGTCGCCATACTGAGTCCGAAACGACGTTTGTGCTGAGTCCGAAATGACGCGGGACCGAAATGACGTGCTACCCGTTCGTCTAGGTCTCCAGCTGCCTCTATAGTGAAAACTCCTCTGCACGGAGTTCGAACACCTTTCGAATGGAATGAAAGGAACTTTATGCGGTAAATATGTAAGTGAACTTTGAAGTTTTCTGACATTAGTGCGTCCTTAGTATTATTTGAACTGTTATAAAAATTGCGGCAGTATTGATGAAGAGGACATTATATTTTTTCATTTGCGCATTGTTTACAATGGCTACGTCTGCGAGTGATCCAGTTGATCCTACTGATCAGAGTGCATACGGTTCTGTTAAATCAAGATCAGCGAAAAACTCTGAACGTTCATCAAAAAGATCGTCTGTTATTTCATTGAAGTTAATTCAAGCAGCCGAGGAAGCAGCTGTTATTGAACAGAAATTAAAGTATCATTCCATAGAAGCCGAAAAGAAATTAGAACTTGAAAATATTCAGCTACGTAAAGATTTGGATATTGCGAATGCAAAGGTGAATGCTCTTCGAAGATTTGAAAATGAAGATTTTAAAGTTGAATCCATGATACCAGTATGTGAACAAAATAAGTCAGAACTTGTCGCAACCTTTGTGAATAGTCATAATTTTTCTACAGATTATGGTGATCTGCCTCACTTGTCACCTGCAGTTAACCCTATTAACCCTGTGAGTTCGATAAGTAAACCTGTCATTCCTGCCAGTTCACCTTTGGTGTCTTTACCGCCGCCCCAAATTCCAGTTAGTGATGTATATAATAATACCCCACCTATGAACAATGCTGATCACTCTCATGCGTCACAGTCCGCTCCTGCCCAAGTGTCTTCCGCTGTACATGTACCTGCCAGTGACTTGGTTCGTATTTTGACAGATCAGGCTAACTTTAATAGATTACCCCCTCCAGAACCAGGTGTGTTTTCCGGTGACCCTTTGAAATATCCAAACTGGAAGTGTGCCTTTAAAACACTGATCGAACATAAGAACATTCCGAAAGAACAATGTATGCATTATCTGCATCGATATATCAGTGGTCCAGCTAAGGAAGCCATTGAAAGTTACTGTCTTCTTGACACTCCGACAGCATTTGAAGATGCAAAGTCATTGCTTGAAAAGCGATATGGCGATCCATTTATTGTGGCTAATGCATTTAGGGACAAATTAGAGGCTTGGCCAAAAGTACCTAACCGTGATGGTCCTGCACTGCGTCATTTTGCGGATTTTCTTAAACAGTGTTACACTGCGATGCGAACAATTAATTGCCTTAATGTACTGAATGATATGCGTGAAAATAGAAAACTGTTAAATAAACTCCCTGATTGGTTGGTGATGCGTTGGGGAAGAACTGTTAGTGATTATAGAAAAAAGAGACAAGAGTTCCCTCCCTTTAGTGAATTTGTTGGCTTTGTGACTGATGAAGCAGACATTGCATGTGACCCTTTAACTTCCATTACATATGCGCCTAATAAGAAAGAACATGTTCCTTCAACAAATCAACGTAGAACTGCATTTTCAACTGAAATAAAGGAATATTCGAGTTATGTTCCAGAAAATTGTGCCTTTTGTCATAGATCAAGTCATTCCATTAATGATTGTACTTTATTCACTAAAAAATCAATGTCTGACCGTAAAGACTTTCTGAGGTCAAACAGATTATGTTTTGCTTGCTTATGTCTTGGGCATGTGTCACGTGCTTGTAAATCAAGACTCAGGTGTAGAATTTGTAATCATTTGCATCCTTCATTACTTCATGGAGATACTGGTCAACCAAGTAGGCCAATGCGTAATGAAAATACTGAAGTCAAGTCTGCTGTTTCGCATACTTTAAGAACTGGGACTGATAAGTGCGCTATGATCGTACCCGTGTGGTTGTCTCACAAAGATAATCCAAGTAAAGAAATTTTGACGTATGCTCTTTTGGATTCTCAGTCCGACACAACATTTGTTTTAGACAAAACATGTGATGCTCTTGACATAGAAGGACTTCCTGTTAAATTGTCTTTGTCTACTATGTTTTCTAAAGACACTCTTATCGACAGTCGTAAACTTAATGGTCTTGTTGTGCGTGGCTATAATTTTGACGTTAGAATTCCGCTGCCTGATACCTATACAAGAGATATTATGCCGGCTAATCGTACTCATATACCGACACCTGATGTGGCGAAGCGTTGGTCATATTTAGAACCCGTTGCAAATAAACTTCAACCTTTGATGAGTTGCGACGTTGGATTGCTCATTGGTTACGATTGCGCAAGAGCTCTAGTTCCACGCGATGTCATACCCCCCGAGAGTAATGGTCCATACGCTGAACGGACAGACTTGGGTTGGGGAATCATTGGTATTGTAGATTTTAATTCGACTAATGAAGTAGATCATATTGGCTTGAGTCATCGCATTATAACTTGTGAAGTGCCTAATTTGAACACTGCGGACATTGATGGTCGACAGGATGTTGTCGATCGCTGCGATCAAGGTCAAGTTCATATTTCGTTTCGCAACAAGATAAAGGAAGTCATCAGTCCAGATTGTATTCTTAAGCTCATGGAAATGGATTTCAATGAACACTTGGATGACTCTTCAATTATGTCTAGTGACGACCGGAGATTTTTGGACATAATGTCGCGAGAGATTCATATTGCGCCAGATGGACATTACGAAATGCCATTACCGTTTCGGAGTTCTGAACCAGTTATGCAGAATAATAAAACTTTAGCACTTCGTCGTTTGTATCATTTAGAGTCACGTCTTCGTAGGGATAAACATTTGCGCTCAGATTACGTAAGTTTTATGGAAGACATTATTGATAAAGGATATGCCGAAAGGGTTAGTGATGATTCGTACATATCTGAACATGTTAATTATATTCCGCATCACGCCGTTTACAACCCAAAGAAACCTGGAAAAATCCGTGTGGTATTCGATTGTCAAGCTAAGTTCCGAGATAAATCTTTGAATGACTACCTGTTGAAAGGACCGGACTTAACAAACGCCTTAGTTGGTGTACTTTGTCGATTTCGGAAAGAACGAGTTGCCTTTATTTGCGATATCGAAAAGATGTTTTACCAGTTTCACGTTAATGTTGAACACCGAGACTACCTTCGATTTCTCTGGTGGAGAAATGGTAATTGTGACTCTAAACCTCAAGAATTCCGTATGACCGTTCATTTGTTTGGGGCTGGGTCATCTCCGGGATGCTCAAACTTTGCTTTAAAACAAGCCGCGAAAGATCACGAGAAAGATTTCGGCACAGTTGTCTCAAATTTCATTCAGAAGGATTTCTATGTTGACGATGGTTTAACGTCAGTGTCGTCTGTGAGTGAAGCTATCGACCTAATCAGTAAGAGTAAGGAACTTTTATTGTGTTGTGGAATACGTTTGCATAAATTTCTATCTAATTCAGCAGAAGTTATTGAATCTATACCGTGTCATGATCGTGCGGAAGGAGTAAAGAATCTCGATTTGACTTTCGATGATCTCCCAACAGAACGTGCACTAGGGATTGAGTGGTGCATTGAGTCGGATGCGTTCCGATTTCGAATCAAACTTTCGGATAAACCTTTAACGAGAAGAGGTATACTTTCTATTATAAGTTCGATATACGATCCGCTTGGCTTCATATCTCCTTTGTTATTAGTTGGGAAACAAGTTTTACAAGAAATGTGTAGGCTTAACACTGGTTGGGATGATGTGATTCCTGAAGATTTGCTACCACGTTGGCAACGGTGGAGAGATGAACTGTTTAAAATTGAGACTCTTAAGATTGATAGATGTTTCAAGCCTGATGGTTTTGGAACTGTAGTTTCCGTAGGGATTCATAATTTTTCGGATGCGAGTACATTCGGCTATGGAGTATGCTCTTATTTGCGACTAGTGGATGCTAATCAACGTGTTCATGTTTCATTAGTCATGTCGAAGTCCAGAGTGACTCCGTTGCGAGCTATAACTATTCCACGTCTTGAACTGACTGCAGCTGTCGTTGCTGTCAATGTGAACTTACTTATTAAAAAAGAATTAGGATACCCTACAGTTGCTCAATATTTTTGGACTGATAGTCGTGTCGTATTAGGGTATATAAACAACGATGTTCGTCGCTTTCAAACATTTGTTGCAAATCGCGTCCAGAAAATCCGAGATCATTCACAACCGAGAGAATGGCATCATGTTACAACGAAAGCAAATCCGGCGGACATAGCGTCTAGGGGCGCATCTGCTAATGACTTAGTTGAAAATTCAATGTGGTTTAAAGGACCAGAGTTTCTGTGGAAATCTGTAATACCGGATGACAAGGAAGATTATTCGAGTATCGCCTTTGAGGCAGATGATCCTAACATTCGTAAAATTAACTCTTTCGCTCTGAAAACCGAGAACAGTTTTGTTGTGATGAGACTGAGTTTTTGTTCTAGTTGGTTTCAACTTAAAAAGGTTATTGCCTACTGTTTACGTTACATGTCTATTCTTAGAAATCGAATAGCTAAGGACACTAATATTGAAAATCCTGTTGGACCTTTAAGGGTTAACGAACTTAATAAAGCAGAAATTGTGTTATTGAAGCTAGTTCAATCAGAAGTTTTTAGTAAGGAGTTGGAAACTTTGCGATCCGTGAAACAGCTTCAAAATGAGTCTAATAGAAATGACATTCGTTTGCGTCGGAAGTACATGTATATACAAAAGAATTCAACTTTGAGTAAGTTAGATCCATTTTTGGATGATAATAACCTTTTACGAGTTGGTGGACGACTTGGTAACTCAAGACTAAGTTGTGCTGAGAAATACCCAATTATTATGCCGCGTAAGTCTTTCGTGACAGAACTTTTAATTGCTCATCATCATGAATTGTGTGAACACCAAGGTCGTGGACTTACTGTGAATGAACTTCGTTTAAACGGTTATTGGATTCTGGGATGTACCAGTGCGGTTTCGGAATACATTCATAAATGTGTTAAATGTAGGAAATTGCGTGGTTGATGTCAAGACCAGAAGATGTCAAATCTTCCCGAGGACAGATTGGAATCCACGGCGCCCTTTACGTATTGCGGAGTTGATTGTTTTGGCCCTTGGTTGATCAAAGAGGGGCGTAAAGAACTCAAGAGATATGGTGTTCTGTTTACCTGTTTAAATTGTCGCGCGATTCATGTAGAGACTGTCAATACCATGACTACTGATTCTTTTATCAATGCGTTGCGTAGGTTTTTAACATTTCGTGGTCCAATACGAGTGCTTCGGTGTGACAACGGGACTAACTTTGTTGGAGCTAAGCGAGAGCTTATGGATGCTTTCAAAGAGATGAATCATCAACACATCCGACAGTTCCTGCTTAAACGTAGTTGCGATTATTTTGAGTTCAAGATGAACGTCCCTTCTGCCAGTCACATGGGAGGCATTTGGGAACGGCAAATCCGTACCGTACGCAGTATTCTTTCTTCATTAATGGACCAATCCGGTACTCAACTAGATGACGAGTCACTTCGGACATTTATGTGCGAGGCAGCTGCAATCGTAAACAGCCGACCCTTAACGACTGATACTTTAAATGATATCAATTCTTTAGAACCTCTCACGCCTAACAATCTATTAACTATGAAATCAAAAATTCTGTTACCACCACCTGGTAATTTTCAACAACCTGACGTTTACTCTAGAAAACGTTGGAGACGAGTACAGTATTTGGCTAATGTTTTTTGGTCCCGTTGGCGAGTAGAATATTTACAGAATCTACAAACTCGACAGAAGTGGACTCAACCCATTCGAAATGTTCAAGTTGGTGACGTTGTTTTGATTAAGGATGCTGAATCTCCCCGAAATAGTTGGAACTTAGGAAGAGTTGTTGTTGCGGATCCAGACTCAGATGGACATGTGCGAAAGGTGAAGATTATGATTGGTGATCGTGCGTTGGATGATAACGGAAAGCGAGTTAATCCTATATCATACCTGGATCGTCCAATTCATAAACTAGTTGTTTTATTGGAAAACTAGACCGGGGTGTTCCCCATCGAGGAGCCTTCGTTTTTGCGATTACGATTACGTCAGTGCGTTGCGGGACATTTTGTTGTTCTAACTTGCCATACATATAGATGTAGGCCTATGTACATTTTCGTTGCGATTTGGTTAGTGCGATACGAATATGGGAATTCGAACATTCTGTAATAATTGTCAATTTTAGTCTTGGTAATGTGCGTATATTTATGTACATGTAACATGTAATATCTTTCTGCGCAGATTGCAGAGTGTCTTGTCATGCTTCATTTTATGAAAATTAAATGTCTTTAATTTTGAGGAGCCATGTAACCGATTCATAAAACGGGTCAGTTTGTACGTTGGAACAGCCTTAAGTTAATATGATAGAAGAGCTTTTAGTTTAAGGGATAGGTTATTGTTATTGTCTAATAATATGAACTCTGTGAACTGTTGTAATGTTTTTTTGATGTATGTTTTTTATGTATATTAATTTATTACGTTATAAACTTCCAGGCTGCGCTACGCTTCGTAAAATAGTAACCTAAAGCATTGATGTTAAATTGTTTAATATCCCTGCGTAATTAATGCTCCCTGTGTCAGTCTTGCAAATGGCTTTCCTAGAAACCATGTTTTTTCGTTTTTGCGTGTGGTCAAGTTAACAGGCTCTTGGAGGTAAATAATTCTGTAATATTGCATTTGTATGTCATATTTCGTTTAATGTAGTACTCATTTATTTGTCCTGCTATGTTTTGCGTTGTGTTAAACTGTATTAATTTGTATTTTTCAGTTTTCACGTCTGTGTTACCGGCATGTCTTTTAATTCAAGTCTGGAAGTTCGAGTCTAAGTTGTTTGCGTTCATCATGTTGTATGATATTCTACGTTAGGCTATTTCCAATGTTTATACGATGATATCCTCGTCCGATGTCATGAAGCATTAAAGAGACAATGAATAAAGATATGTATATGGTGTATTACAGTTAGTCGAGTCTCCTTTTCAATCTATGGTGTTATACTCCTGTTATCATGATCACAGGCTGGGTGCGTTCGTCTAGGTCTCCAGCTGCCTCTACAATGATATCTAATTGTTCTGGGGAGAGATCTTTCTCCAAATTCAAAATTATCTCCGGTCTACGATGGGTCAGGATAGGCTAGTGTATTTGGTTCGGCTGGCCTCTGAAAGCGATATCCTGCGCACCATCAATGCCGAGAAACCATTGCAAAATTCGCCAGGGGCAAAAAAGAAGAGTGTTCATCCATTGATCATTATCATTCAGCTCTAACTCCGCGTAACTTGACCCCGTATAACGCGAATTATCGCTAACTCGAACAAAATTCGTTGAACGAATATTTTCTTTCGTTTTCCTTTTATAAAACATCGAATAACTCGGAAACTGTAACTCGAATTATCGCATAGCTCGAACTAAATGTCCGGTACAATCCTTATCGAAGTCTTATATTTACATCGCCTAACTCGAACTGTAAATAATGGATCTTGCAGGAGAGTGTGCCTTGGCAACTTTCCCGGAAACTTGAACCTTTGAAAAATAAACGCTTTTTGTGGCTTTATCTAAGGGTGTAGCACATGGTCTTTTATTGTCGTGAGATCTTCTATCGGACCGAACATCGTCTAACTCGAATTATCGTATAACTCGAACAAATTACCCGTCCCCATCATTTTGAGTAGCGCGAATTTTGCCTCAGATTGACGTACGATTGTATATAAGCTGTTGTTGTTGTCGTTGTTGTTGTTATTTGTTGTGGGTATAAGCTGAATTTGATGAGATACACATCATAATCACATTGCACGAAATATTCAGATTTCTTGATTAAATCTCGTATTACCATTTGGTACTTACAGTGTTAGACGTTCGTCAAAAATCAAGTCCGGCTTGGTCGTAACGTTACGGCTTCCATTCACCAAATCATCGTGGGGGATATAATACGATTCCGAATCAAGTGACCCCGTTATTTATCACTGAGCGACTTCACAATTAGGTTTGATGTATGTAGCTCTGCTCACTTACAGTGGCGGATTTAACGGGCTCAATGGGCTCCGGCCCCCTCCTCTAGATATGCCATCATTTCATAGCACTCGCATGGATTGGTCCACTGAAATAACGCCAGAATGCGCTAATTTTGTGGCAGAATTTTGTGGAATCCCGTTCCACGTCGTGCGCGTCTACCTCTCTGAGACCGGCGACAGAACGATTAGGTCCTACTTCGCCCTCGCGGGCGAACGGGGTGGTGTGTGTCCGACCTGTGTGTTTCGGCAGGTGTCTTTCGAAGGCAGGTAAATCTGCTTGCAGACGATTAGGGTTTGTGCGAGTCGGGGTGTCGTACTCGGTAGAGCGGCCTGTTGTGGCTGCGATGCGTTGAGACTTGTCCCTCGACTAGGAGATATGTCCGCTTCGGACGGACAGAGCTCGCCTCTCTGTATATTTGTTTTTCTCAGCTACTTCTTCACTTCCACTTCGCGCGCCCCGGCCGAGGGTCTCCTGGCCAAGAGAGGAGAAGAAGAAGAAAGAGAAGAAGGGGGGCGAATTTTTACCCGTTTGCCCGACGGCCCATGTCTACACGCAATTGGTGTGGGACATGTGCGAACGAAATGACGGACCGGCGGAAAAGAGACGGCCAAGAGTGCCCCGTCTCGAAATTTGAGAGATATGCGGCCGAGAGGCGGTCGGGCTGGAATTCCTCAGGAAATCACGTTTCCGGCCTCCAATTTCTGAAAATTTCAATGGGGGGAGACCCCCCTTGCGGGGCTTCGCGTCTTCGGCGCTCGCGGTGGCCGGTTTCGCCAGCCACAGCTCCGCAGTCGTTGATCAGGGCCCCCCACATGTTCCAGGCCCCAGGGCCCCCACCATGGTTAATCCGGCGTTGCGCGTATGCCTTTTTTAATTATTAAAATAGGCCTACCGACGTAACTATTAAAATAAGCTATATACATACTCATAATACTGCAGGGCTTAATAGGAGATTAATAATATTGGTTATGATAATGATCAAGTAATTGTTATTCAATATTCGTGACTATTGATTGTTAATCTTGATCTAAATCAGAAGTAGTGCATAAAGATTAAGGCCTGCACTAGGCTGCAGAGGAGACACAAACAAATTAAGTGTGTTGGCAACTTGGAATGAGTTTTTTATCATTGCAATAATGGGTGTATCGTGAAAAAAATAAAATATGACAACAAAAAAGTCAAAATCGATCATGGAATCAGAAAGGTATAGCAATTTTAGACTCTGAAAGTCAACATAACTTTTCCTGTTGCATTAAGTTTATTTATACTTATACTAGAATACTTTGTTACCCGTATTTCGATAATGTGACCACGATTGCAATACAATGGTGAACTTCACTCATTATTATACCTGTCCAACGTCCAGTACCATCGGTCGAATAGAATAACCTTAAAGGAGCTAAATCGCTAATATTTAGGACATCGAAATTGACCCTTTTACTATTGGGTAATCATCATCATAATCATCACATCAACATTGAGGTTTTTGGTTGAATAAAGTATTATGTACTATATATAGACAACTATTTTGAACGTAACCGTTGATACACCCAGAAATTGCCTGTTATTTTTACATGCATATGCTGCTGGAGATGCATTGACGCAAATGCTGTGTGTTTGCCTAGTCTTCATTATTGGTGTATAATTAAAGGATTACAGATGGAATAGGACGAGACAACAACTAAATCAGTTATTTCTACAAGACCTACATGGCTACATGTAGGACTGTCAAAGGTTCTGACTTTCGTAAAGAGCTAATTTTAAAAGAGATGAAAACAGTTCGTTTCAAATTCTTAAAGTAAAGTCTGAACATTTAAAAAGACTTGGATTATGTTTTACTGTTTTTAACTGAGTGCTCGAATGTATTTGAAAGCATTGAATCGAAGGAACATTTAGACTTTCGGAAAGTTTTAGAATAATCCTGCGAAAACTTCATTTTCAATGCATGAAAAATATAGAACACTAAAGGATAGTAATAGAGGCAAGTCAATACACCCCTTAAGTTTGTCGACCTATTAAATCTACTCCAGACAGAATCAAGAAAAACCAATTACCCAATGTTCGGTAAACTTGCCTTAATATCTGAACGACGACCATTTACGGTAAAACTGAAAGACTCTTACGCAACTCAGTTTTCTTTTTGAATGAGTGGAAATAGAAATAACAGAAATGGTTGAACACAGTATGCACTTGCCCCTTTTTAGATCTAGGAAGCAGGATTTCATTTTCTGCTACAAGCTGGTCATGGGTAGCAGTCAGTAGCAGATAAATCATAAACACAATGGGTACACCACATACATTTACCTCGCAAGTCATCAAAGGTATACAGTGTCTGATCTAACTCTTGGAAACCTAATCGATTTACCAAATGTCTACATGAAAGATAAAATGGCTGTTAGCAAAAGACATGTGCCAACAAACCAAGAAATATTGAGATGGCCTCACCTACGAGACATCAGTTTGCCTATAATTGATTTGGACATTGGACTATTGATTGGTAACAATGTCCCAGACGTATATTCAATAACTGATTTCAGGAATGGTCCACCAGGGATGGCATTCCAGAATCCACAGCTGTCGTAAACGGAGCAACTATCTTATCTATTCAGGATTATAAAAAATAATTACTAAGTGTATAATTCTGATTTTCCAGAGGCTATTAAAAATGATAAAAGTTAACAAGTCTATTGCCTATCCTGACGGTCAATAGATGAAAGCCTTGCCCTTCAAAGTTGGTAGCAACCTGTTACCGAATAATGTGTACCTGTGTACCGAGCAGTTCACGTCTGCAATCATTAGCTACTAAAATGAGAAAGAAATCCAGAATTTGCTTGTGATTATACTGAGTTTATGGAGGGGCTAATTACAGATGGTCATGCTTAATTTGTCCCTGAGAAGGAAATAAAACATCCAGAAGTAGGCCTATACCATGCTAAGAAGATAAAATTGGAATAAACTAAGAAGAGTATGGGGATTCTTCAAGTTGGAGGTAGATTAAACAGAGCAGATATATGGTGTGACGAAAAACACCAATCTGGTTGGATCTGAACGTGAGCTTATACAGAACTGGAACCAAGGAAAGATTAAAAATGCACTTCTTCAACATGAAATTAACTGGCAGTTTAAAGTTTAAGCCATGGTATTCCTTGACAATCAACAGTTGTCTGATCCCTTTGTAGGTTTATTTTGGAAAGAACAAAAGCTAAGGTGGTCATAAGTGGCATCGTATGATGTTAAGACTTGCAATATTACTACACAACCAGAGTCCATCTTGTTATAGAGAAACCGATATCATAAATCTTCCAGACCAGAAGACTCAATTTTGAGGGACTATACCAATGTTACCAAAGTATGGCAGTGAGGTCTACTAGCTGCAGGGGTACCGGTATTGCATGAAATCCACTCGAGACATTGTAAGAATATTGTATAGTCTATCTTGAACCATTCCAAATATTACATTATAATAGTCATATAGATCTTTGAATAGTTTGAACATTTAAATTAGGAATTATAAATCTTCATGTTTTATGAAATGTATACTGTACTAAATGCTTCTTTAATACGGAAAGTTGAAATATTTAAGTTAGGACACCGAGTTGGGAATTATAAATTTTCATGTTTTAAGATATGTATACTATATACGGAAAGTTTAAATATCTGATGAATCCATGCAAAACTTTCTTCTAAAAAAAAAAGGTCTTCCCATTCGTTTTATATTAACCGCTTAAAGGAATGTGGGGTGTATCAAAAGATATGTAAGAGATGCTACCCTACTTTTACATATACTATTCAAAAAAAGTAGGGGATATTTGATTTTTAAGTGTTATTAAAGTCACCTAATGAAACTGACGAAGAAACAAATGACAAAATGAAATGAAGTTCACATTCATCGATTTATTCCAAATGATCGTTAGACTAAGTAAGGCACAGACTGACCATTATAAGGGTAAAATGATACCCGGGGTCAAACAGCAACGTTACCACAGCATCACAGCCAAGTCAGTAACGGGTAAATCCTCCTCTGTTTGCCAAACAAGCTTTGATCCGACGTGGCATACTCCTAATGAGACGTCTAAGGTCATTTTGGTCCAGATTGTCCCATTCCTGTTGCAACGCAGCAGCAAGTTCTTGGACATTGGCAGGACGTTGTTGACGTTGACGTAACCTCTGTCCAAACATGTCCCAGACATGCTCGATGGGGGAGAGGTCGGGACTCAGTGCTGGCCAAGGTAATGTGGTGATGTTCTGTTGTTGGAGGTAACCTGTAACGATCCTGGCCCTGTGACATCTTGCGTTGTCATCCTGGAAGATGAAACGGCGGCCATGACGTCGTGCGAACGGCACAACATGGACTGCCAAGATGTTGTCCCGGTAGTACTGGCCTGTAACACGCCCTGCAACAACATGTAAAGCCGTTCTTCCAGCAACAGTGATGCCTCCCCACACCATTTCAGAACCACCCCCAAATCGATCATGTCTGATGACGTTAACGTCTTGGAAGCGCTCGTTTCGACGACGCCACACCCTCCTACGTCTGTCCAAAAAATCAACAGTGAACCTTGACTCATCTGAAAACATCACATTGCTCCAGCGTCGATTATCCCAGTGTTGACGATCCCTACACCAACGACGTCTTGCCTGAATGTGATGATCTCTCAAACAAGGGATCACGCGAGGACGTCGGGCGCGAAGGTGACCCCTATGCAGTCGATTCCGAATCGTCTGGCCACTCACTCTCACACCAGTGTCTGTTTGAAGACGAGCGCTGATCTGATTTGCTGTGATGACACGATTTCTCAAGGCCAAGGTACGGATAAATCGATCCTGGGCTTGAGTTGTCGCCCTTGGCCGACCTGAGCGTGGTCTATCCTGTACAGATTGTGTATCATAGTATCTGGACCATAGCCTGCTTATGACAGACTGAGAAACATTCATCGTCCGCGCCACAACCGCCTGTGTTGTGCCGATCTGTAGCATGCCAAGGGCACGTAACCTTTCATTTTGGGTAAGCCGACGCATATCAAAATTTGTTTTCTGGTCACTAAAACAATTAAACTGATGTTTCCACCCTGGAATTCAATGCCACAATGACTGTAACATTCAAAGTCAGAGTCGTGCAAATCTTGGGTTGGACCCCATGATGATCCCAAGCATCACCTGCATTCCATGCGGTAGCTATTGGTGCGTTTGGGCGTCACATGTAACTGGAAATGTTTCTTCTGTTAGGTTCTATAGTGACTTTTTTCGTAGTCATTTGCATATTTTAGTATTATGCCCCCAAAATCAAATATCCCCTACTTTTTTTGAATAGTATATATCACTAAAGTTACAGATTCAAAATAAAATCCACTCGAGACATGGCAAGAATATTGTATAGTCTATCTTGAACCATTCCAAATATTACATTATAATAGACATTATAATATAATTAATGGAGGGAGTACAAATAAAGAGACATCAACCAGAACTTAACAGAGACAGTGGTTTATATATCCCCAGAGCCTATGATGAATTAATTAAAACAGACTAATTAATAATTAACATAGACTTTACTTTCACACAAATTCTTAGTATCTTTTACTCAGTTTAGCAGTTTAGTTTAATGTATTGTTACATTATATGCAGCACATAATTATTATAGTACTTATAATTTATAAAAACAAACAATAAGATATTCATTAATTTTTTCTGTAACCTATAAATACATAAATATTAGCATACAGTTTCACGGTTAGTATTACAATTACTAGAGTTAATAAAATGGCCTCGCCTTTTATCTATTGTTATGGTAATTAAAATACATCAAGGCAATAACCTTATATTAATAAGTGGTTTCTACCTAGTGTACATTACAATTAAATGCTTTTGTCAATCTATATGGTTTCATTATAAGAACAAGGGTCACTGTTTTCCTAATTATGTTTTCATTGAATGTTGTGATTGTACATAGTATATATATCTCATTCCTTCTACCTGTATCAGTATTGTGCTTGAAAACGACAAGAGAATCATTGTTGAAACGTAGCTTTAATAGAAATATAGTAATTGTTATCCATATAACTTTGTGTTTATTTTTTTTAGTCATATAGATCTTTGAATAGTGTGAAAATTTAAATTCGGAATTATAAATCTTCATGTTTTATGAAATGTATACTGTATTAAATGCTTCTTTAATATGGAAAGTTGAAATATTTAAGTTAGGACACCGAGTTGGGAATTATAAATTTTCATGTTTTATGATATGTATACTAGATACGGAAAGTTTAAATATCTTGTTAGAATTATTGTATCTTTAATTATCATCATTTTAATATGTCTACATTTTAATGTCATTGTGTATTTAGTTCTATGGTTGCAGTGACAAATCTGTTTCTAAGATGACGTAATCGTATTGCTTGATCGTCCTGGAGTGACGTCACACGTGGCGCTCCCGCCCTTGGGAGGTCGGCAATAGTTCCAGTTTGAAGCACTCTCGTTCTAAGATTAATTATTGTCTTGCGTGAACAATTAAAGGCTCTTGCAACAGTGACCACAGACTGACCAGCATAGAGGCTACCTATAGCACGTAGACGTTCTACATTTGAAAGGCGCGGCATTTTCTAACAAAGATGAAAATAACAATTTTAATTTGTTTTTCCAGTTCAAGTTACGTGTGTATGTTCAGTTTAAGCAAAATTGCATCGATTGACCTCACGAGATTGTGTTTGCACGTGTTTTTCATCTTTATATGCTCAAAAGTCACGTGATCCACGTGACTTTACAATTTTATGAAATTAAAGGCTTCTTACTATCGTTAGAAACACTTTAAAATTTATTTGACTTACCAGAAAAAAAAAATTGTTGAAATTCATCAGTGTCAACTTTTTAATTTGGCTGAGTATATATGAACTTACAGGTAAACACTATAGTGAATACTCAATTGGAATCACATGGTCTTTCGCATTTTTATACGGCCACATTTTCATGTGGACTATATTGTTGTCGCCCCTTTCCGCAATTTGTTTGTGGACACTCTACAGGTCACAATTAATTTTCGATTTTGACGAATAGGTCTTATCTCCCACAGATCTCGGTTCCTTTCAATATTGGCATATATCGGACCATAACTTCATGGTATGGCCCCTGATTGTACGAAAAATCATGTTTTTAGCTTGTGGACACTGTAGGGGTCACAATTTTCATCTGATTTTGATGAAACTTTAAATACATGTTTATAACTCAAAGATCTTGGCCCCTGATTGTACGAAAAATCATGTTTTTAGCTTGTGGACACTGTAGGGGTCACAATTTTCATCTGATTTTGATGAAACTTGAAATGCATGTTTATAACTCAAAGATCTTGGTTCCTTTTGATGTTCGTGCATATCAGGTTGTAAATTCCTGAATTATGACCCTTTATTTTACGAAAAATCATGTTTTTAGCTTGTGGTCCCTCTAGAGACCACAATTTTTATCCGATTGAAAAACATGTTTGAATTTTTCACTGTTACACCGTAATGACGGCCGAGTTCGAATTTTCGTGAAAATTGGACCAAAACTGCCGGACAAAATGGACACTCCTTGTACCCAAATAGTGTAAATATATGGTATATCAAGGTTGTGGACCCTCTAGAAGTCACAATTTTGATCCGATTTTGATGAATACTTGAAATATATCTTTATAACCCACAGATCTTGGTTCCTGTCGATATTCGCGCATATCGGATCATAACTTCCTGAATTATGGCCCTTGATTGTACGAAAAATAGCTTTTTGTTTAGCTTGTTCTCTATCTATCTCTTGCAAAATGTGGGCTTAATCCTGCCTGGCAGCTGCTGGTCTTAGTGTGCCATTCAAAATTTTGCTGTACACTTAGGAAGATCTCATACGACACACTGGTTGAGAATCACTGATCTAGAATAATAGCCTGTTCCAGACGCTTATAATGAAACTAGTTTAAAATCGCTGGGGATTTTTAGACAGGACAGTAATGGTCTTCATTAAACTTAGTCAAGATAATATTCACTTTTATTATTGAAAACTGACAAAGCTCATTCAGAATCAGTTTCTAGAAAAAATAAATACTGAAGATCTAAAATGGATACAACCATTTATTGTATAAGATGATTATAGATCTAAAATGGATACATCCATTTATTGTATAAGATGAATATAGAATGATTTAACAACATACATATTATGTAAAATAATATAAGATTAGAACTAGTATTTCTAGCATGAATTACTATAATCATCACTATAAAAAAATCAGTTATGATAAAATTAAAGATTCATTGTGTATTAATGTATGAAAAACTAGTAATATCTGAAAATTTGGTGTACAGAGTGCATGTTTTTGTACTGTATGGAAAGCTAGTAATATCGAGCAGAGTGCATAATGTGTACTTTATGGAAAGCTAGTAATATCTAACAGAGTGCAACATAACATTGTTTACCATATGGAAAGCTGGTAATATCTTCTAAAGTGCATATTTTGTACAGTATGGAAACTGCAAAGTGCATATTCTCTACTGTATGGAAAGCTAGTATAATATCTTACCAAGTGCATATTGTTCACTGTATGGAAAGCTAGTAATATCTTGTAATACCTTTACTTATGCTAAAATAATCTTTCAATGTGTAACGCATAAAAATTTAGTGACATCTTGGTGTATCTATAAAAGCTAGTAATGACCCTAATGTGTGCATATTATTTTTACACTGTTGATAAAAGTCTGAATAGCAAGTCTATCATATAAGATTACTCCTTTTCAAAGTAATACAACCGATTCATTTTTTTTTCTTTTGCTTTCTACAAATGAAATTTTTTAAAAAACCAAAAACAACTCGATACGCATTGTAAGTTTCACATTAGAATATATGGCATGCTGCTTGCCAGATATATTTTTCAGACATTTTTCAATACCATCAGCACATGCCTATTATTTGTATACCCAGTGTTTGATGGAAAGTAGTATTTGCTGACACTACATCGAGCAATGTCCTTGAGCGATGATAATAATAATGACATTAAAATGTAGACATATTAAAATGATGATAATTAAAGATACAATAATTCTAACAAGATATTTAAACTTTCTGTATATAGTATACATATCATAAAACATGAAAATTTATAATTCCCAACTCGGTGTCCTAACTTAAATATTTCAACTTTCCATATTAAAGAAACATTTAATACAGTATACATTTCATAAAAAATGAAGATTTATAATTCCTAATTTAAATTTTCACACTATTCAAAGATCTATATGACTATTATAATGTAATATTTAGAATGGTTCAAGATAGACTATACAATATTCTTACAATATATGTCTCGAGTGGATTTCATTTTGAATCTGTAACTTTAGTGATATATGTAAAAGTAGGGTAGCATCTCTTACATATCTTTTGATACATCCCATTTTGAATCTGTAACTGTAGTGATATATGTAAAAGTAGGGTAGCATCTCTTACATATCTTTTGATACATCCCACATTCATTTAAGTGGTTAATATAAAACGAATGGGAAGACCTTTTTTTTTTAGAAGAAAGTTTTGCATGGATTCATCAGACAATTTACATGCTCTTTAAATGCAAGTGGTTGGTTGCCATGCAAGATACGCCCACATTTTGCAAGAGATGGACAGAGAACAAGCTAAAAAAAAAAAGCGATTTTTTGTACAATCAGGGCCCATAATCCAGGAAGTTACGGTCCGATATGCGTGAATATCTACAGGTACCTAGATCTTTGGGATTTAAACATATTTTAAGTTTCATAAAAATCAGATAAAAATTGTGACCTCAAGAGGGTCCACAACCTTGGTATAACATACTTTTACAATATTTGCGTACTTGTGTAAGGAGCGCCATTTTGTCGGGCAGTTTCGATCGGATCCAAAATCAACCATCATTATCGTGTAACGGTGATATATTTAGACAGTTTTTAAATTTGGATAAAAATTGTGACCTCTAGAGTGTCCACAGGCTAAAAATGTGATTTTTCATACAATTTGGGGTCATAATCCATGAAGTTATGGTCCGATATATGCCAATTTCGAAAGGAACTAAAATCATTTAATGGACCCATATTTCAGGTTTCGTAAAAATCAGATAAAAATTGTGACCCGTAGAGTGTCCACAAACAAATTGTGGACGGACAGACAGGGGCGATGGCATAATACGTCTACATGAATATATGGGGTTAATGGACAGTGAGCCTGTGTGCTAGCCAATAAAAACATACAATACAACAACCATACCAAATTTTGTGCATTAGCATAACAAGGTTTCAACTTCTTGTGGGTTAAAGTTACCACATTAACAGAGTTAAATAAAACCTAAGAGCTAAACAGAAGTGATGATGAGGATTAGTGTGACAATTTTCACTGTTATCTTGAAACAATGAAGATTGCTTTACCACCAAGCATTTTACATGTACATAAAAATATAAATCATGAAGTCTTTCAATAAATCAAAAATGGCAAGGATAGATGAACATATAGAATTAACAATCCATGTCACATCTTTTTACAAATAAAATTCATTTTACTTTCAAATTACATGCATAGATCCATATTTACTAGTAAAAAAAGATAATAGTTAGATTATATGGTTCTCATTTTAACAGTCTAATTATACAATAACATTTTGTTCTGTTTAATTGTACAATAACATTTTGTTCTGTTTTATTTGTTGGTTGTTTAATCCACTTCATCATGGTATGAAGACATTTCTTCATAGGGAGTGGTCAGTAGTACACAGATTGTAATTGGTTGACTTCAGATTTACTGACCAATCAAAACATTCGATACAGAAATCTTTTGAAACTTTTCGATTATATACATATGTGACTGTCTTATCAAGGCCACAGGCACAGAATACACTTTTCTTAACCATGGCTTTAGATGTTAGAATCACCAACCAAAAGAAACAGAAAAACAAAATCATACTTTTTATAAAATTGTCATTTGATTTATCACTGAACAATGACTAGAAAAAAACTAAAGATTGTAATTACTTTTTCTTTATCTCCTGCAAACTTGTTGGACTGAAGACTTAACTATTTATATCAAATCTAAAGCTCTAAGATTGACATAACTCTGCAGAGATTGGATACACACTCCAAACATTAAAATGTCCTAATATATTCTATATCCCATATTCTAGTACTGGAAGTGATTACAGAGCAAAAGACTAATTAACATGTTTATGCGATACATGTCACAATTAAAACTCAGTTTAAATTCTTGTTGAATAAATTCAATCAAATATGTCTAAGCACTACTGATGATTTTCTAATTGGTCCAGTACATTAATGGTGCAGTTCATAGTACAAGAAATTCATAGCAACATATGCAAAACTGTTATTACCCATTTTAAACTTAGAAATAAAATTATATGCAATGAAATTTTTGAAACTATAGGAATATAATAAATATCCATTTTGGACGTAAATTTGAGATATGATAGTAAAACAATAAATTAATGTTAGCCACACAATATGTTAACCTATCATCGTTAGCATGCCAGTCTGTAACATAACAAAATAAAATACAGAGTGTAGTTACCCTGCAAATCAGTGGTACTGTGACCTGCTGGTTAAATAATTGATTATTATTAGTTGCACTTATTTCATGCTCTTAAATATTGTTTTACGTTTATGTAGCATATATAAAAAAAACAATTAATTTGATAAATTACTTTGTAAATATTTTGTGGGCTATTCTACTCCTGAGGGAGTTGGAATGCCACTTTTTATAGACACCCCACCACAAATAAAATAAGTATACTTAAACACTCTACCAATAGAATATTTCTAAGAATCCAATTTTTTATAGACCCTCTAAATCCTCAGATCAATCTGAAAATTGGCATTCCCACCCAACCAGGTAATTTTAAATGGAATAACCAGAACTTTCATGATTTAAAATATACTATGATATTAATAAACAGTGACATTATTATAAATGTCATTTTGACAAAAAAACAAATGTATATTTTTGAATCTAATCATGAAAGAATATAATTTGTACTATATGGGTGTGGTCCATTGCATTAAAATAAAGCGAACCAAAACTACCAGGTGGCTTTATGTCTTTGTGCTACAGTTTTAATAAAATCTTCATGGCTAGCATAGAGTTTTGTTTTTCTAGTTATGTCCATCCATTGTACTCCCATAGCATCATCACCTGGAAGGAAATTAAACGTCTTGGCAATAAAATACCATATATAATCTGTTTCACAGAGTTAATTCGGAAGCCTTCTTTTAACTCCGTGCGCAAGATGACCGACCTTTAAGTTCGCATCAATTATAGGTCTACGTGTGACGTCACATAATGTAGCATCAATAACGCATGCAATGTTTACATCGGACATTGTAACACAAACCAGTCCGAGCAGAATTTGGTGCCTTTTACTCATTTTACGCCTTCGTGTACTATTTTTTGTACCCATTTACACTAAATAAGAAATATTTCTTATCCAGATATACTTCCGACACATTTATTTCTTTTCTTATAATTTAAAAATAGTTTTCGAATTTAATTTGCAGAAGAGCTAATTGAGAGCTAATTAACTTGCCCAGATGACATCCCTTTTTATAATTTCGACAAGACTGTTAACAGATCATTTCAAAGATCATTTCAAATGTCTTAGCTATTCTCATTATTTTAACTGTATAAGTCAAAATGTTACTGTACTTTACCTGCATTTAACTTAAATAGTCCTACACTATCTCCATTTTCATCATGGAAGTTCATAGCTACTGTTTCCATCCATGCATTGTCTGTATTTCTTGGATCATCTACATAACCTTTATAAACCTGTCAAAATATATTAAACATACTACTTTCATCAAATAATATATAAACATACTCTTATATAAATTGAGATCAGTATTTTTGATCAACTATTACAATATCTTCAAAAAATAATATTCAATATTTATCTATGATCTTTACATGTTTTCAAAAGAATTCTTCAGAATTCCAAAGAGTTTGAACCCCAAAAAATCTCAAAAACTTTGAGAACCCCAAAAAATAAGCAGTTCATAAATTTGTCGCCTTATCATCCAGATTTTCCGGCGTGGTTTCCCCTTGTCAGTGATGCAGGACGGAGGGCCTGACAAGGAAAGCTGTCTAGTCGTTCGGATGGGACGAAAAACCGAGGTCCTGTGTACACACTGGCGTGCACGTAAAAGATCCCTTGGCAGTTGGAATTCGATATAAGAGTAAGCCGTAGTGCCGCTGTCTGGGCAAAATTTCCCTCATAGCACACTGTATGGCGTATGCCTGTCTTCATTAGCCCAGGTTAGGAGCAGAACAGTAGGACGTTAAACTCCATTTCATTTCATTTCATTTCTATTATGTTACTTGACCATTTATCAGATACTACAGATTTAACATGGGCAAAAACCCAACAAAGTAATTATCAGAAATTATTAAGATTTTTCATTTAAAATGGTCAAGAGAAATAGCTCAATTATTGGAAATCTATAGGCTTCTTTTTCTCATGAACATAAAGATTGGATATAAAATTTACGTCAAATGATGACCTGAGTCACGAGAGATTTCAAAGTGATCAAGGGCAATAACTCTGAATGTGATAATCAGAAATCATTGAAAATCAACAGGCTTCTTTGTTTCATGAATATAAAAACTGTGTATAAATCGGATAACTTAAGCTTTTATAGCGTCCACAAGGTATTGTGGATGGATGTGCAGACAAACAAGGGCAATATGCAACATTTCAATATAAAACCTTATAGTACTGTACCCTCATGATCTTAATTAATTTGGGAACATAACTTCATTTGTCTGAAATAGATAGCACTAATTATTATGATAAATCTAACGTACCTCTATTCCTGAATGGAATAATTTATCTAATGATTTTTCTATATGTACTTTTTCTTGTGGTGTAGCTTCAAATGTATTAAGAGCTTCTTCTCCAAACTCTCTACGTAATGTCACTGATACAACTTCTCCAGCATCAACCATACCCTATTAATATATTTAAAAAAAAAAATATTCATTTCAATTGATTTAATTTTCAACTAGATTTCATTATTTATTGACAGAGGTTATCATGCTAGTACAGCCAATATCTATCTATCAGACTGCAAGGAACTAATTAACATCTTGCATGGGACTTTAGAAATTTCTGGATATTTTACCACTTTGTTTGATGTATGAGAGAATATACTAATGCATCAAAACTGGCTATACAAACAGAGTGATCACAAAATTTTTTTAAAATAAAATTCCATACATGAAATTGTCGCAATTGATCTATCCAAATTTAGGATTTTCTTCTCTAAATAGATCATACATATGTCAAAAGTCTTGGTTCACGATAAACAACACCATATTTTCTATAAATAAATACCTACCCCAGGTATAGCCCATTCTCCATTATCTTTTCTCTGTACAGCTATAAACTGTAATATTTTCTTCTCACTAGTCTTCCACCTGTTAAAATAAAGAAAGAATAATCTCTGATAATCTTTAATTGAATTTCAATCAAATACTAATCCTAGTTAAAGTTCAAATGACACCACCTCTTTAATTTGGAAACTTCAAGGCTGTTTGTTGAGGTGGCTGAACAGCCAGGGTGATGAAGATTTTATATGACAGGCTGAAAAAATACTAGTACTAAACAAATAGATTTATTGGAATTATTCAGCATTACTATAAATTAATAGTCTTACCTTGTAACTATAGGATCGGCAGCATGATTTGGTCCCCACCTTCCTAAAGAACCACGTCCACATAAACCTGTTCGACCTTCGGGATTTCTACAATTAACATATATTTATTCTTTTTAATCAAATCTTTGGGTATTATGAATTATTTGTATTATTTGGTGAAAATAACTGAAAATTGCATTTCTAAGCTTCTATTATCAAATTCCTTAAAATATAAGCCTAGGCAAGGAACAAACACCCACCAGAGGCAACAATTACATATAACACCAGTAGGCATAAAATTATGGGCAAATCTGAACTTTGATATGGTTTTCCTTATGGTTAGATAAATAATACGAGCAAGTAAAATCATTCCAATTCTGAATATCAAGATCCCAGCAATTTTGAAAAAAAAAAAATTGCTAAACCTCTGAGCTACAGAATAATTGCAGGTGGACAGATCAACAGAAGGGTGGACAGTTGTGGTGACAATTACTCCTAGACAAAATGTTGACATATCAAAATCCCCTTTAAAATAAATTCACCTATACTATTCAAAAAAAGTAGGGGATATTTGATTTTGGGGGCATAATACTAAAATATGCAAATGACTACGAAAAAAGTCACTATAGAACCTAACAGAAGAAACATTTCCAGTTACATGTGACGCCCAAACGCACCAATAGCTACCGCATGGAATGCAGGTGATGCTTGGGATCATCATGGGGGTCCAACCCAAGATTTGCACGACTCTGACTTTGAATGTTACAGTCATTGTGGCATTGAATTCCAGGGTGGAAACATCAGTTTAATTGTTTTAGTGACCAGAAAACAAATTTTGATATGCGTCGGCTTACCCAAAATGAAAGGTTACGTGCCCTTGGCATGCTACAGATCGGCACAACACAGGCGGTTGTGGCGCGGACGATGAATGTTTCTCAGTCTGTCATAAGCAGGCTATGGTCCAGATACCATGATACACAATCTGTACAGGACAGACCACGCTCAGGTCGACCAAGGGCGACATCTCAATCCCAGGATCGATTTATCCGTACCTTGGCCTTGAGAAATCGTGTCATCACAGCAAATCAGATCAGCGCTCGTCTTCAAACAGATACTGGTGTGAGAGTGAGTGGCCAGACGATTCGGAATCGACTGCATAGGGGTCACCTTCGCGCCCGACGTCCTCGCGTGATCCCTTGTTTGAGAGATCATCACATTCAGGCAAGACGTCGTTGGTGTAGGGATCGTCAACACTGGGATAATCGACGCTGGAGCAATGTGATGTTTTCAGATGAGTCAAGGTTCACTGTTGATTTTTTGGACAGACGTAGGAGGGTGTGGCGTCGTCGAAACGAGCGCTTCCAAGACGTTAACGCCATCAGACATGATCGATTTGGGGGTGGTTCTGTTATGGTGTGGGGAGGCATCACTGTTGCTGGAAGAACGGCTTTACATGTTGTTACAGGGCGTGTTACAGGCCAGTACTACCGGGACAACATCTTGGCAGTCCATGTTGTGCCGTTCGCACGACGTCATGGCCGCCGTTTCATCTTCCAGGATGACAACGCAAGATGTCACAGGGCCAGGATCGTTACAGGTTACCTCCAACAACAGAACATCACCACATTACCTTGGCCAGCACTGAGTCCCGACCTCTCCCCCATCGAGCATGTCTGGGACATGCTTGGACAGAGGTTACGTCAACGTCAACAACGTCCTGCCAATGTCCAAGAACTTGCTGCTGCGTTGCAACAGGAATGGGACAATCTGGACCAAAATGACCTTAGACGTCTCATTAGGAGTATGCCACGTCGGATCAATGCTTGTTTGGCAAACAGAGGAGGATTTACCCGTTACTGACTTGGTTGTGATGCTGTGGTAACTTTTCTGTTTGACCCCGGGTATCATTTTACCCTTATAATGGTCAGTCTGTGCCTTACTTAGTCTAACGATCATTTGGAATAAATCGATGAATGTGAACTTCATTTCATTTTGTCATTTGTTTCTTCGTCAGTTTCATTAGGTGACTTTAATAACACTTAAAAATCAAATATCCCCTACTTTTTTTGAATAGTATATAATTTATTAAATTAAGATAATGGTATAAATTTAATCAAAAATAATTGACTTACCTTGGACATTTATTAACTATTTCATATTTTCCTGTAAAACTGGTTCTATTTATAACACCATCTATACAATTAAATTTAATTACTGGAGCATTAGGTTCTCTGTAACAACAACAAGTATACAACCATAATGTAGGACATAAAACAAAAGAGTAGGCTGTATTATTAGTATGGACAAGTTACCATTTATTTATATAGTTGAAACTATTAACTTGTAAGAAGATTAAATAGACAATGGATAACCCATTTGTTTTTTCAAGTTTTTTGTTAATCCAGACATGGATGACATAATCCAACTCAAATAGTTAAATGTCATAAGTTGTTATGAGAAAACAACAAATTCTAAAAATATACCGGAAGTCAGTAAAGTATGCACAGGAAATTGTGAAATGAAATTAAATGAAATAGGTTTAACATCCTACTAAGAAATTGTGAAAAATAACATTAAGATTGTTATAAACTATAATACTTAAGAGAATACTCTCCAAAACATATCCCCAAATAAATTAGTGTTTTTTGCTGTTCCATAAGTATGTGTTACAGTTTATTATTGTTCTATCTAGTTACTAGATGTTTCTAGAGAGAGAGAGAGAGAAATGGGGTTTAATGTCCACTCGACACAAACTAGGTCATTTCGGGACTAACATATGGTTCAATTTTATTTCCATAATTCGCTTGCGCGTAGGGGTCTTTAGCTGTGGGAGGAAACCGGAGGACCCGGAGAAAACCAACGAGGTTAGACAGGCAACCCTAGTCCTTGTCATGTACAACCGGGGAATCAAAACCCCGCCAGTTGACTCAATGACAGACCGTATGATACAGCGAAATGTTTCTAGAGGATTATTAAGAATGTATAAACATATGACATCTGTTTACTTATTAAGAAAGCATAAAATGGCACTGTTAGGTTATTTAAAAGACACATTAATACCCAAATTTGGTTAGGTATGCAATGCAAGGGAGGAAAAAGTCGCCTTGGCAACATGATCCTGAAGTAACGACACCAAGTTTTACAGCATCTGGACGTTGCTAGATTGCTTTTACAATTCCCAAACTTATAGCTATGTTATCTCCATTTACTGCACACACACGTGAACAGTAGCGTCCAATCATGGAAACCTTGACATAAAACGAACCTTGAACTTCGCAACTTGATTATAACAGGTAGACATTTGAAGACTTGGCATTTACGATGAATCATCAAGGAATCTGATAGGCTTTCAAGCTGGGTGAATACCCAATCGAAATCAGTACCGAAATATCTTGGGTATTACGTAAAGGCCTTGATAAGATGAACAAAGTTAAAGCCTTCTACCAAAGATGCCTTGGCAAGGGCATTTCTGTCTGACAACCTTCAAATTTCATCTGACACTGTTTATTTTCTCCTTAGATTAGAAACTAGATATACAGTTAATTAAACAAGTATACCTGATATCTTTATCAGCCCATACAGGACCAGCTTTAACACCTTCTGATGTAAAATCTACAGGTTTATATTCTGGGAATTGAACACTCCATGGCACTTTACTATCTGGTACTACAAACCGTTTAACGTCTTTAGTTCTAGGATATATAGCACATCGCGCTTTCTCATGCAATTTTTTATTCATATTCACTGCGGCTTTAGAGCCTTTTCCTCCCATGAAATCATTTACCTGAAAAAGTATAAGACAACAGATTTTAGCTATTTACGGGAAGAATATAATACCATTTCATCAACTACAGTCTATTAATCAATATTATTATAATAAAAATTTAATTAAAATTTGTATAAAATTTGTATTTTGTTCAATACATTTCTGTTTGTTGTGCTACCGTCAGAAATTTACTCCATATTATTATAGCTCTATATAACTTAAAAGAACAATTTCTGCCTTCAAGAATTGAAGATATAATTAGTAATTAGGCTAGAAATGCTAGGAAATAGATAACAAACTCCTAAAAAAAAAAGAAAACAAAACCAAACGACATTATGTTTTTTGGGGGGTGAGGGGGGGATTGGGGGCAAGTTACCATGAACACATGTTTTTTTCTTTCTTGACCTACATGTAGTAGGTGATATCTTTGAATGATGCCATTGATGCCGTCAATATCTTTTATAGGAGCAATAAAAGAATAAAATTCTGCTGATGTCAATATTAGAAATGTAAATCTATCATGACGTACCAACAGAAGGTAGTTCATAGGAGTAATAAAATCATATAACAAGATTTATACACACTAAATACTGGTCGAAGACAAACTCAACCTTCCATTTTAGGTGTACATGTACTGATATAAAATCAAACAATCGTTGTGACCTTTAAAAGAGCTAACTCAAACTAGTTCGCAGCAGAATTTCAAAATAAATTTCTAAGCAATCTCTTTAAATATATATACATTACGCAAGAGCTAAATCTGCCTAGTGCGGGTCTTTCTTAAAGCCTGAAATGTTATATAAATTATTAATTAGACATTTATTAACATGACAAGACCATAATCTCCGATATTAAGTAGATTAGTATGACCAAGTAGTATTTAATACAGCCAAATACTATAAGTTTAAAATATATGATTATTATTTATTGTTACCAAGTAACACTGGAGGAAGCATGCAGATCCAAACAAATCTAAAAACTGCCAACAATACTGCAAATAAAAACATTCAAAGGGCTCAAAAAAAGTATAGTAAGCAACACAACAAAAAAACAGACCACCAAATTTTAAGAAAGACCAAATGGTTTGGTTATATTGTACTAAGGTACAGGTAGGATTTTGCAGGAAACTTCAACGTAACTGGGTAAGACCATATTATATCTGTCATGACATTAAAAACAACACCTATGCAGACAGATTAAGAAAGCCTTACATTGATCCTGCTAAGCGACCTACCAATTTACCTGAGATACCAGAAGCCCAGCAAATGGACCTGAATCCAGAGGAGATTAATCAAAATCTATCACAAACTGCTGATGCACAACCACACGTTAATTTAAATAATGATAACAATAACAGTCAGCTAATTGCACAAACTAATAACAATACTAATAATGATGGGAGATACAAATTCAACAGACAAAATTGAAGACAGACATATTACAAAAATACTACTTACAGTCAAGTAAATACAGAGAACAATTTTGGTGTAAGACACGACTCGGGGAAGTAAAAGAACCCCAATGGATAGTTCAGGATCTTTTGCCTTAAGATCTTATACGAAACTTTAATGCTACAAAAACCCAAAACGGACTGGTAAAGAAAAGTACAAAGAAAGAGGGAAGCAATTACTTCCCCCCACCAACTTCCACCTTTTCCTGATGACTTATTTTTTAACCTTGAAATAGACAAAAATGGTTCTAAAAGCACATATTAATGAAATATGAATGTAAGTAAAGTGATTTATATTCAATTTTTGAAAAAAAAAAAAATATTGTAAGTTCCAATCAATTATGTTTAGTGAAATATGTGAATAGTTCAGATTGAACGGTAGTCGTTCATGTCTGCTTAATGTATTCTACACGTTTTTAAATTATTTTGTCGTTTGTGAATTAGCCTTTACTAACTACTTCCACAATGTGTTGTAGGATATGTTTTTATTTGTCCATTATAAAATGACACCCGAAATCATAGGGTACACGACTTGTGTACTGATTATAAAATGTTAATTCTGTCTTAAATATTGGGATATTAGGATCCTATAGTTTCACGGCAAGATAACAACATCAATATTGATGGAAATTGATCAATATTGAATTTTAATTCGTGTTTTTAAATTTGAACATTATGGAAAATATTGAATTAGAGACTTAGCTCCTGTAATATAGGCCTACCAGAATATGACCTGTAGTATTTAATACAGCCATCCACCCAATAATTATTAAGGGGTAGACTTACACCATAACTGGGCACCCAAGATGAATTATCTAAAGTAAGTTAACAATGGTTATAGCTATGACAAAATTATAGACAATAGTAGTAATGAGATAATCCATCTATAAAGATTACATAATCAAGGACCCAAGTAGTCACCTCTGACCTCAGTAAATGAATGAATGGATGTCACCTAAATACTACCCCTTAACAACTATAAAATATTATTAAGGACAGTATCTAAGAAATAACTTATCCGAGACCTGCCTGCCGTTCAGTATGTCCTGCTGCCTGCCTGTGGTCAACTACCTATCATCTGCAACATCTTTCCTCTAGTATACCCCTACTAGTACTAGAGGTTACTTGGTAAAAATAACCAATAAATAATAATTATATATTTTAAAATTAATGTTACCTAGCCTGTGGGTCATTATTGTATATATTATTATTGTTCAAGTATTGTTACAAGAATAGAGTACCATACCAAGAAGAAGTGAGTTGTTCAATTATTGTATGTTCAATCTTAAACCACCAACTAGATTGAACGAATACATTTTAGATTGGACTTATAAGCAGGTCCATAAACCCTGGATGATATAAGAATGGTTCAGCCATATTTTGATTTAATTTAAAAATGGAGAAGCAAGGCTTAGCTTCGAACAACCAGTACGGCGGTTGCAATTAATGAACACCTCTTGTCAACCCTTTAAAGGCGAATATTATAGCTTGCAATAAAGTAATTTGAATGAAATTTTTCAATCTATTCATTTTGCATTATCTATTTTTGAACTATTATAGCAAGAATATGGCTAACCCTTTATCTAAATCTTACATAATGTATCTTTAATTATCAATAAATGAACAATAAATGCAACTGGTGCAAAAATAAACAACATAAAAATAAAACTTGAGTGTTCAATATCTCCAAGAGAATTAACGCCTACATAACAATTGTGAGTTACATATTATTATTATAGGATAGTCAGTGATGACTGAATTTCTGATTATCAGAGAATATTCTTAACCCTATAACACACCAAGAATTCTTATCTGATTTCAGGTACCATATTCCTGTACCTACATGTACATATATCAATAGTCACAGAGCATAGCTGATATTCAGTTTACAATACAAAAGAAATTTCTAAAATAAACCCCAAACCTGACCTCCATCTTTAATCATCAAACAAAATATAATGTGATACGTGTATTTAGTAATCAGTTATAGATGTTATATCTACTGAGACATAACCCTGTGTAAACACATCCACCCATTATAAGGTCAGAACCAATATGAATTTTAGTTCTTTGGAGGAAAACAATTTAAGTAAAAATCAAAAGAGGCCTACGGTAGTTAGCTGCTCTGATTCTGATCAAAACGCATTTAATCTCCAGATTTATATTACTTAAAATGACAAAATCACACTACATGTACATTATATTTATCAAAATGCTGAACAATTGAAAATAAAATTGATTTGGCCTACATACAAGTTAATACAGGTATGTTTAGATCAGAGGTTCTAAATACATATACATGTACGGCTATGTCAGGATTTGAAACCATAAAATTTTCTTAATTTATTGGATAAGCATTTTTGAAATAGACTTAAAGATGCATTATATGAGAACTAATTCTGCCTGTTGTGGGTCTTGTTTTTGGCTTCAAATGTTATATAATTAGGCTTTTATTCAGATGACAAGCCCATAATTATGTCTCTAGACATCAGATGGCTGTGATTTTGAATGGACTGAAACACATGGATTTAATAATTTAATGTAAAAATGGATAACAAAGACCTTGTTTATTGTCATAGTGTAATGGTACTTGATATTCAAACCGATACTGTAAAAACTTCATCACCCATAACCTTGCTCAGAATAAAGTAACTTGACTGAAACTTTAAATATTAATTTTTAATTATCTTTTGGAACTAATAAAGCAAGAAAGGCGAGTCTCTTTTACTATAATAATAGTCAATGATTGGCAAAACTTTATTTTTGATTGACAATAAAATTACTACATGGATGTTCAAATTAGATTCTATTATGTAAAATTGTAACAAATATTTGTCAAATTATTTCTGAGATAAATAGTACATGTATGTTCTGTGTTCTTAGACTAGAAAAAGAAATAAAATGAATTGAAATGGGGTTTAATGTCCTACTGTTCTGCTCCACCATACAGTGTCCTATGAGAAGAAATTTTGCCCAGACAGCGGCGCTACAGCCTACTCTTATATCGAATTCCAACTGTCAAGGGATCTTTTACGTGCATGCAAATGTGTATAAGGGACCTGTTTTTCATACCATCCAAACAACTAGACAGCTGTCTGTCCTGCACCACTGACAAGGGGAAACAACGCCAGAAAATTCTGATGAACTTTTTCGGCCAGCCATTGTCTTACTCACTTAGCCACCGTGGCTCCCTTCTTAAAGTGCACATAAGATGGTCCCGGAAGATTTGAGATACGTGTAGCCAATGGTTACTATATCCACTTTACGGCAAGTTCACGCCAATCTGGTTGAAATTAATTCAGTTATCTTCATTCAAAGTCGTAAAAATAGACCTTCCATAAAAACGGCTTTGCCAATATCGAAAACACTCTTAATCCCCTCAGACGCCAGTGACGTCACAGTGACCGAATGCATATTCGGAATGTTTATTCCTTAATTACCTATATACAGCCGGCGTGTGTATTCTTTAACGCCTGAAGGATTCCTTAATCCCCCTAATTAAATAAAACAATTGACTACGGAATAATTTGTTTTGTAATTCATTTTAATTTAAGATCCAATTTAGAGT